AAATTATTGGAAATTATGCTGTACAACATTGCTTATTATCCTGGCTCTGTCCAAAGACACTCCTTGATCTTAAGCAACAAAAAATTATTTTACTTCAGGCTGTTGTGGAGAAATAAATAAATGAAAATAGGTCAGATTGCAAAGAGCGTTTTGCCACTGAACTGTATAAAATGTACAAAATTTATAGGAATTGATCCATACTGGTAGTCCTCGATTTATGACGGGAATTGAGCCTGGAATTATAGTCATAAATCAAAGCAATACTTAAGTGGGTAAACCGCCTGACCACTCTTTAACTTTATGACCCAACCTTTTTTGTGGCAGTCGTTAAGCCAACACCGCAGACATTAAGTAAATGCAGTGGTTATTAAATGAGTGCAGTATATCCCCTGGGATGGTTTTTTTTTTGCCAGAAGTAAAAACCAAAAACTGGGAAAACAGCTAAAAATAAAGTCATGTGATTGCTAGACGCTGTAAAATATAGTTTGCCAGACACACAAAAAATACAATTGGATGACTACAGTATGTGTATATGTCTCTGTGCGTATGAGGTTGTGTGAATTTCCAATTTGGGTGGTAAGTCACTCTGGGGAAGTGGATCGTAATGCGGAATGGCTGCTAAGCGACTGGTCACTAAGCAAGGACTGCCTGCACTATATTGATCATGGTCATTCTCAGATTCATGCATTCATTAAGTGAACCATCCAATTGCTAAGAGACAAGTCAGTTAATTAATTAATTAACAAGCAATAAATAAATAAATAGCAGGGCATTGCAAGTAAGGAATATAAATCAAAAGCCATTAGGGAAAGTACAGGAAGTCCTCTACTTATAACAGTTCATTTAATGACTGTTTGGAGTTACAGCAACATTGAAAAAAGTGACTTATGATCGTTTTTCACACTTACAACCATTGCATCATCCCCAGGGTCATGTGATCAAAATTCTATGTTTGGCAACTGTCTCGTATTTATGAGAGTTGCAGTGTCCTGTGGTCATGTGATCCTTTTGTGACCGTCTGACAAGTAAGGTTAATGGGGAAAACGGATTCAGTTAACAAATCAGGTGACTAACTTAAGAACTGTGTTAAATCACAGTTAACGATTGTGGCAAGAAATGTCATAAAATGGGGCAAAACTCAACTGTCTTGCTTAACAATGGAAATTTTAGGCTCAATTGTCATAAGTTGAGGACTGTGTGTAGGCTGCCCAACTTGGTGAACCCAACTCTGTGTGGCACACAAGAAAATCCCATGAATGTTCTCTTATAAATCAGATATTTTCCCAATGGAAAACTGCATAATTCTTACTCTGTGGCTAGAATAGAATAGAATAGAATAGAATAGAATAGAATAGAATAGAATAGAATAGAATAGAATAGAATAGAATAGAATAGAATATAGGAATAGAATTCTTTATTGGCCAAGAATGATTCCAGTGCAGAAGCTCTCACTGTACATAAAAGCTATAAATCATGATTATAGTCATCATAAAAATACGTTCATCATAAATCATAAGATACAACACTTAGTGATAGTCATAGGATACTAAATAAGCAATCAACATAAATTGTGCTAGGAAACTAATTTATTTATTTATTTATTTATTTATTTATTTATTTATTTATTTATTATATTTATATACCGCCCTTCTCCTGAAGAACTCAGGGCGGTGAACAGCCAAGATTATATACATAAATATAAAAATTAAAAACAATTTAAAACTAGATTAAATACTTTGGGCCACAATTAAAAACATCCCATTAAAATCCAATTTAAAATTTAAAGCTGTTAAAATTAGGCTAGCCCGGCTTGCTGGAATAACAAAATCTTCAGGGCACGGCAGAAGGTGCACAAGTCCAGGATCCTCCATACCTCTGGGGGCAGCTCATTCCAGAGGGCAGGAGCCCCCACTGAGAAGGCTCTCCCCCAGGGGGGTCGCCAGTCGACATTGTCTGACCGACGGCACCCCGAGGAGCCCCGCCCCGTGGGAGCGTACTGGCCGGTGGGAGGCTGTCAGTAGCAGAAGGCGGTCCCATAAGTACCCAGGTCCTAAGCCATGGAGCGCTTTAAAGATGTTAATCAACACCTTGAACTGCACCCGGAAGACCACTGGGAGCCAATGTAGCTTGCTCAGGAGAGGAAATTATTTATTTATTTATTTATTTATTTATTTATTTATTTATTTATTTATTCGATTTGTATACCGCCCTACTCCCGAAGGACTCAGGGCGGTGAACAGCCAAACAATAAAATAACATAGACATAAAAAATTTAAAAACCAGATAAAATCAAATTAAATTATTTTGGCCCAGACAGATTAAACAATATAAATCATAAGGTACAAGTAACAAAGTTATAGTCATAGGTAGAAAAGGAGATAGGTAATAGGAAAAATGAGAAGAATAATAGTAATACAGCCTTACTAAATGATTTGACAGTGTTGTGGGAATTAATTGTTTAGCAGAATGATGGCTTGGTGGAGAATCTGAAATGGTAAAAAGTCAGAACCAAGTTCAAACATAATTGTACATTTATTTATTCAATTTGATGGGATGGGATGGTTTATATCCTGCCTTTATTATTCTTAAAAATAACTCAAGGTGGCAAACATATCCAACACCCTTTTCTCCTCTTATTTTTCCAACAACAACAACAACAACAACAACAACAACTGTGAAGTGGGCTGGGCTGAGGGTGATTGGCCCAAAGTCACCCATCTGACTTTCATGTCTAAGGCCGGACCAGAATTCACCATCACCTGGCGACTGGCCCAAGCTGGCTTTCGTGCCTAATGCAGGATTAAAATTCCCAATCTCCTATTGATTGGTTCAAAGCCACCCAGCCGGCTTTTATGCCTAAGGCAGAATTTGAACTCAGGATCTCTCCTTTCTAGCCTGCACTAGACCAAAACCTCCATAGAAGATTCCCCCCACCTTTTTTTTTTCTTCTTCCCCAAACCACTTGTCATCACTTATTGAGGCTTTGCGAGGTATTTGCAGAAGGTCAAAAAAGTCAAAATGGGTCTTCCCCCATGCCACACTTGAAGCTGTGCCTTATTGAATGTCCACCACATATCACAGCCACAGTGTATTCTGTCTGCAGAGTCCTTCAAAAATAAAATAAAAAATGCTTCAGAGAACACACTGTGGATGTTGGCTTCTTTGTGTTTGTTGTTGGAATGCGATTTATCTTAATGGCAATCATCCGCACCCACACCAGTTTCACAGAAGCAAACACATAAGATACACATCCGGAGTTGGGCTGACATGAAAAATCCCTTTCAGACTGAGGTCATATTGCAGAAGAGTTTGTGTTCTTGTGGACATTTTCTTCTCCATCTTTTCTCAGATAACCATACGGAAGTCAGATTCTTTGGCACCATCACACACTGAAGGCTACAGAGCACTTCATTTATTGCTCCTTTGTTCCACTGTTATGTCTGTCATTTTTGGGGGCAGAGGGCACAGCTTTCCGTCCCCACATGCAATTGATTATGGTAGATAGATCAACAGTGGACATTATTTCTTTGTGTGGTGACGGTTAACAGCTAAACAGCAGATGACATACACAATATTTCTTGTCAAATTGAGAACGTTAAAAGATACCTTCCTTCCTTCCTTCCTTCCTTCCTTCCTTCCTTCCTTCCTTCCTTCCTTCCTTTCCTTCCTTCCTTCCTTCCTTCCTTCCTTTCCTTCCTTCCTTCCTCTATCACTCTTGTTTCCTTCCTCCCTCCCTCCCTCCCTCCCTTCCTTCTTTCCTTCCTTCCTTCCGTCCTTCCTCTATCACCCTTGTTTCCTTCCTCCCTCCCTCCCTCCCTCCCTTCCTTCTTTCCTTCCTTCCTTCCTTCCTCTATCACCCTTGTTTCCTTCCTCCCTCCCTCCCTCCATCCTTTCCTTCCTTCCTTCCTTCCTTCCTTCTTTCCTTCCTTCCTTCCTTCCGTCCTTCCTCTATCACCCTTGTTTCCTTCCTCACTCCCTCCATCTTCCTTCTTTCCTTCCTTCCTTCCTTCCTTCCGTCCTTCCTCTATCACCCTTGTTTCCTTCCTCCCTCCCTCCCTCCTTCCCTTCCTTCTCTCCTTCTTTCCTTCCTTCTCATTATTTATTTGTATCTCACTTTTATTATGTTTATAAATAACTCAAGGTGGCGAACATACTAGGGGTGAAATTCAGCTGGTTCTATCCAGCTCGGGTAAACTGGTAGCGGCAGCTGCGGGAGGCTCCGCCCACCCACGTAGACGTCATGATGTCAATTTTAAGCCTCTGTGCATGCGCAGAAGAACTTTGCACATGTGCAGATGCACACAATTGCGAACCGGTAGGGAAGGTAAGTGAATTTCACTCCGGAACATACTTTACACTCCTTCTTGTTTTTTCCGTCACAACAACCTTGTAAGGTGGACTGGGTTGGGACTGACCCAAGGTCACTGTCAGGGTTCCAGGTAACACCCCCAACCAGAAGATCTTTGGATCTTCAGGGCTGCCAGTCACCAAACCAACTTTCATGGCTAAGGCAAGACTAGAACTCAGTCTCCTGTTGATTGGCCCAAAGTCACCCAGCCGGTTTTTATGATTAAGGCGGGACTAGAACTCACTGCCTCCAGGTATCTACACAGGTGCATTAACCAGTGGACCAAACTTAAATGTGCTTCTAATTTATTAATTTATTTGATTGTAATCCTTTTTTTAAAGATAGTTTTGGTTTACGGCACTATTTTAACCTACCAGCAAATATGCTCTGTGATCAGCAAGCAGCAAAGTAATTAAAAAGAAATAAAAGACAATAAAAATGCAAATACTGTAGAATTTAAGACCGAAATAAGAGAAAACCCTGATATTTTTTTTTTTTAAAGTGGAGAACAAAAGAGAACGGAGGACAGAAGATTAGCTGCATTCCGTTCAAAAACAGTGCAGTATTTTTTTCCGTAGGGTTGAGATAGTAACCGATAAAACATTCTATTTCTAGCAGCAACTAATCTAAATATTTCTATGTTTGGGACTAGCTGAACTGCAGGCGCCTCCTGGCAAAACCAGAGAAAGTGACACGTTGTCTAGGGAAGCAGACATCATTCCCCAAGACGAAAGCATGTGTGAACGTGCTGTTCTCCCTGCCAAGTAAGTTTGTTGAATTTCTTTAAATCTCAATTTACAACCGCTCATTTAGTGACCGTTTGAAGTTACAATGGCATTGGAAAAAGTGAATTATGAGAGTTGTTCACACTTATGACCATTACAGCATCCCCATGGTTATGTATTCAAAATTAAGACGCTTGGCAACTGACTTATATTTATGACGGTTGCAGAGTCCCAGGGTCAGGTGATCCCCTTTTGCAACCTTCTGACAAGCAAAATCAGTGGGGAAGCAAGATTCACTTAACAACCTTGTGACTCACTTAACAGCTGCAGTGATTCACTTAACAACTGTGTCGATAAAGTTCATAAAATGGGGATAAAACTCACTTCACCCCCCTTTCACATAGCAATGGAAACTTCGGGCTCCATTTGGTTGTAAGTCAAGGACTACCTGTCTCTTGAGGTTTGGTTATTCCATCTCCTCATTCCTGGCTGTAATTCTGCTTCTTGGTTTTTGATCGTCAAGGGTCGTCGAAATGATAGCGGAAGTGCCGTGGTTCCGGAATGAAAGAACAGAGGACATTTTGGATTTAGCCGGTGAGGGCATCGCGGAGAGAACCCGTGTTGATGAAAAAGGAGAAAAGAGCGTCACAAGTAAGGGATTCTTATCTGTTGATGTGGCCTCAAGGTGAGGGGTTGGACTAGATGACCTCCAGGGACCCTTTCACATTCTATGACTCTCTGTAGACCAAAGTAAAGCGAAAGCTTCAAGGCTTAGGTTGATCAGTGTTTCTAGATATTCAGATTTTTTCAAGATTATAGGGCTACCTTAGTTGAAACCCCCATTAGCATCTGCGAAGGGAGCGGGAGAGTGTGGGTTGCGCTGCCTTTTGGAATCAAGGACACAATGAAAGACACAAAACAGCATCTGTGCAATGATGTCATGAGATAAATCACCTTGTGGCAGATATGGAGGCAGCCGAATCAATACCATGCTGAGCTGCTAGTCTATTATATGAGAGCAAACTATTCTCCCATCTAGCATTGATGATGTTACATATTTGGGTCTTGACATGCCTGCAGCAAAACAACCAAACTCAGAGTGCATGAAGGACCCCTCCCTACCTCCCCCCTTTCCTCTTTGAACAGAGGGGGAGGGATACGACTTCATTTATCTCCAGTCTACAACACAAGCTCTTTCAGCAGCTCCAAGAAGGCTCCACACCCATTCGCACCACTCAGGTGAATCTGAGGACACAGGTGGCCTCAATGATTCTCTAAAAGGATGCAAATGACCAGCTGTCTGCAAGGAGTATCAATTTTTCCATTCTCCACCATCCAGTCAGAGCTGGAGAAGCTGATGAGAAGAAACTTCTCAAGAAACTTCAAAACAAAAAAAACAACAAGAAAATCCAGTTGTCTCTTAAAAAAAAACACTTTTGGGACATGAAACAGAGAGCACCAAGGATCCCACAGTTTTTGTAGTCCTCCTCCTCCCCCTCCCCCGCTTCGTCTCTACAGAGACCCTACTCCCTTCTGCAAGCAAACCACCAAGCTCTGAGAGCACCAAGGACCTCACAGATACAGATACAAGGAGAGCCCCCGGAACCCAAACATTGTTTAACGAGCTCATGGTACAAGTTTTATCATGGCTCTGATTGCTTTCTCCTTTCTCCTTCTGAAAAGAATAGTTCTGCTTAAGCCACTGAGAGCAAACCCTACTCCCCTCTAGCACTGATGACGTTGCTTACTTAGGTCATGAAACGTCTGCAAGAAAATAACCAAGATCTAGATCTGTCCAACTGCACTTCATATTTTTCTTTTATTAGGTCCACCATACATGCAGGTGCCCCTTGAGGATGTCCAGGTTCGGTGTGGGGAAATGGCCAAGTTCCAGGCCATCATTGAAGGCAATCCTCAGCCGGTGGTTGGATGGTTTAAGGTATGTCAAAGACACCCCCAAACTTGGGTCGGAATAAAAAAAAAGAAATGGCCACATATCCCTTTGTGGGTAGAAAAATTATGCTGTGTTGATTTAGAAAAAAATAATGACAGATAGTCTTCAACTTATGGCCACCACTGAGCCCCAAATTTCCACTGGTGGCAGTTGTTAAGTGAATTTTGCTTCATTTTGCAACTTTTCTTGCCACACTTTTTAAGCAAATCATGGCAGTTGTTAAATTAGTCACAGGGTTGTTGAGTGAATCTGGCTTCCCCATTGACTTTGCTTGTCCGAAACCTTCAAAAGGGGATCATGTGACCCTGGGACACTGCGATGGTCATAAATATTATAATACAGATAGTCTTCAACTTATGACCCACAATTGAGCCCAACATTTCTGTAGCCGTGAGACAGCTGTTAAATGAATTTTGACCCATTTTACCTACTTTCTTGCCACATTTTTTGAGTGAACCACTGCTAAGCTAATAACATGATTATTAGTGGAATCTGGCTTCCCCATTGACTTTGCTTGTCAGAAGGTCATAAAAGGAGATCACATGACACACACACCCCCAACCGGAACACTGTAACTGTCATAAATATGACTCAGTTGCCCCGTGTCCGAATTTTGATCAGGTGACCATGGGGATGCTGCAATGGTCAATCTGAAAATCTGAAAAATAGTCCTAAATTACTTTTTTTAGTGCCATTGTAACTTCAAACATTCACTAAATGAGCTGTTGTAAATCAAAGACAACCTCTGTTTATAAATATCGTATCCTAAGTCCTTCTTCTATTTTGGTGCAAACCCTCCCCAGAGATTATTCTTAAACCAAGAGCTTAGATGGGGCTGCCCCTGGCTGAAGTCCAAGCGATGGGCTGAAAGTGTGGCTACCTACCTTATTTTGCGTGCTTCCCTTGCTTCCTTCTAGGGAATTTCCTTGTTGCTGGACAGCGAAAGGATCTACCAGTTGAACGAAGGGACTACCTACTCTCTGATCCTCTACAACGCTCGGGCCGAAGATGGAGGGGTCTACGCTTGCATGGCTAAAAACCCTGGAGGGGAGGTGGTCTGCAAAGCGGAGCTGGTGGTACAGGAAGGTATGTTGACTTGGTGGTTTTCTTCTCATTTATTCTTTCTTTCCTGTCCTTCCTTCCTCCCTCCCTTCTTTGTCCCCCTTTCCTTTCCTTTCCTTTCCTTTCCTTTCCTTTCCTTTCCTTTCCTTTCCTTTCCTTTCCTTTCCTCCCTCCCTCCCTCCACCCCTTCCTTCTTTCCCTCTGCAGACAAAATTGTACAATGAATGGTTGGGGGAACTAGGTATGTCTAATCTAAAGAAGAGAAGGATTGGGGAGGGGAGGGTCTATCACAGATAGACCATTATTTGAGGGTCTATCACAGAGAAGAGGGGGAGCAACCTATTCTCCAAAGCACCCAAGGTCAGGACAAAAAGAAACGGATGACATTTTTTTTTTAATTTGATTTATATGCCGCCCTTCTCCGGAGACTCAGGGCGGCTCACAATGCGTTAAGCAATAGCCTTCATACTTTTGTATATTTATACAAAGTCAGCTTATTGCCCACACAAACTGGGTCCTCAATTTACCTACCTTAGAAAGGATGGAAGGCTGAGTCAACCTTGAGCCTTGGCGAGATTCGAACTTACAGTAATTGCAGACAGCTGAATGTTAATAACAGGGTGCTTTAGACCACTGTACTACCAAGGCTCTTTATGAAAGAAAGACCAATGTAGAAGCAAGGAGCAATTTCCTGACAGTGATAACAATTAATCAATGGAACAGCTGTGAGTTGGTCCATCATTGGAGGTTTTCAAGAAGAGGATGCCATTTGTCTGGACTAGGATAGTCTCCAGGCTGGGCAAGGGTTTAGACTAGAAGACCTCTGCGGTCCCTTACAGACATTCTCTTTCTATTTGCAGTTCTTTGTATTTTGTCTTTTTTCTCCAGTTCCTTCGTTAAAGGTCTAGGTAGATTCTCAAGCAGTTCTCCCAAAGATGCTTTTTCTAAAAAGCAATTGGACTTCCTTGATTTTTTTCTTTGAAAAGCTTTTCACTTCCACTGAACGACTCGTATTTATAAGTCAGTTTATCTCATATGTCATATTATGAATCAGTTCCTCATAAATACTGACTTGTATTTATGACGGTTGTCCTGGGGTCCTGTGATCCCCTTTTGAGGCCTCTTGATGGGGAAGCCAGGCTTACTTAACAACCATGTCACTAATTTAACAACTGCAACAATTCACTTAACAAGTATGGTAAGAAAGCTTGTAAAAAGGCGCAAAACTCACTTAACAACTGTCTACTTAGCAACAGAAATTTGGGGCTCCACTGTGGTCGTAAGCCGAGGACTACCTGTATTTGATGGTCCCACCAGTTCTTGCTTGGAAGGCAAATAGCATTTCTATCATTGTCACCACTTTGATTCTTATTCTGATTATTGTAGACAAGAAAAGTCAAGAGGCGAAGAAGCGAAGCTCACGAAGGAAACTTCATTCTTTCTACGAGGTTAAACAGGAAATAGGAAGGTAAAAATGATTTCCCCACCCCCCTTAGCATCCATCCACTATTATTTTGGGGAGAAATATAACACTGGGGAAACTTTTTTTGCCCAAAGTTTTGAACTTATCACTTTATTCTCTGAATATTTAATGGTTTCAGGGGCTCCTTCAGCGTTCTCAAGAGAGTCATCCATAAAGCTAACCGTGTGGCTTGTGCTGCGAAATTCATCCCATTGCGAAGTCGAACGAGAGAACAGGCTTATCGGGAAAGAGATATTCTAGTCCAACTTTCCCATGATCGAATTACTCAATTACTGGACCAGTTTGAAACACGGAAAACCTTAATTCTTATTTTGGAACTGTATCCTTTTTGCCCCTGAGAGAGGAATAAAGAAAGATATGAAAAGAGATGGCGTTAAGACACTAGTCCTCAGCGTTCCTTCCTTGCCAAGGTGGGCTAGGTCAAGAAACCGGCATCAGAAATGCTCCTTCACTGTTTGTAAGAATCTTGAAAGCTTCTCCAAGTTGGTTTCTATCCCATCTTGCCCTAAAAACAGTCAAAGTGGCATTATTTTAAGTTTCTTTCTCACACGCCTCTGTTTCTCAATATGGTGTAAGCTGATAGAAGAGAATATTTGTAGCTCAGCGTTGAATAGTAGGGTCCTCGGTGCTCCCTGATGGGGTAGTTTTCCTGAACACATTTCATGACCCAGTTAAGGAACATCATCAGCGCTTGCAGGGAGAGGAATGTGGAGAGGAGGTGGAGGAAAACGATTGTGGGGTTCTTGGTGATCTCTGAGCTTGGTAGTTTTCTTGCAGATATTTCATGACCCAGCTAGGGAACATCATTAGTGCTAGAAGAGAGTGGGGTTTGTGGAAAGGAAGAGGAGAAAGGAGAAAGAGAAGAAGGGGAAGGAGAGAAATTGTGGGGTCCTTGGTGCTCTCTGATGTTGATAGTATTCTGACAGATGTTTCATTACCAAACTAGGTAACATCAGCACTGATGATGTTACAACCCCACTCCACTGTAGTACCGAAGGTGTTATCTACTTAATCTGTAAAACGTCTGCAAGAAAACCACCAAGCACAAAAGTACCAAAAACCCAACAGCTCAACCCTGAGCTACAGATATTCTCTTCTATCAGTTCTTCAAGTCCCATTTTGCAACCACAGGGATGTCGAATGTCTTGGGCCAGTCCCTCTTTCTCGGCCTGAATTGTTTGGCCAGATGGAAAGAGTTAATTGATTCTTTGAAAACAATCTATGTATTTGTTTAACCCTCTTGATGGCTTGGTCCACTATCCTTAACGGATTAGATGTTCCAACGAAAACCTTCTGGACCGCTTGTACAAGAAGAACATGGTGACAGAAGCAGAGGTGAGAATCCTTCCTCCTGTATTTTAGGGAGAGGACCAAAGATTTTGACACAAACAAGGATAGTTGAATTCAGTTCAATTGCTTCCCCAGCTCTATTCTTTTGCAGTGTTATAGACTTAGTTTCCATTATCCCTGGTCAGTCCAAATATAATTCTCAATGCTGATATTATTTGTAACTCAGAGTTGAATTGTGGGGTCCTTGATGCTCTCTAAGCTTGCTGGCTTTCCTGCAGACATTTCATGACCAAACTAGATAACCTCATCAGTGCTAGAAGGTTCTATGTTTAACAGAAAGCAAACTCTTCTCCCTTCTACCACTGATAATTTTACCTAGTTAGGTCGTGAAATGTCTGCAAGAAAACAACCAAGCCCCAAAAGCACCAAGGACCCCATAATTTTCAATCACTGGACACTTTACTGTCTGAGGAAGGCAAGCATAATACAGGTAATACAAAGAACTTCAGAATTAGAATTGCAGGACAACAGAGTTGGAAGGGACCTTAGAGGTCTTGTAGTCCAACCCCTTGTTCATGCAGGAAATCCTGTAGCATTCCAGAAAATGGCTGTCCAATTTCTTCTTAGAAACCTCCAGGGAAAAATCAATGGAATAAAGTAAATTAGTAAAAGATGTAAATGAAGTAAAAACTTCATTTTTTAATAGCATTAAAAAGAGAGTCAATCAAGTTGGGGGAGGGGGGCAGATTGAATTTTGGAAGGAAAATGGTTGCAAAGTCTAGACCAACCTGTTCCATAATGCTTCTCTATGTGACTCCCAAAGCTGCTTTTTTTCAGGATGCAACTGGGCTTTCTTGTTTTTTCTTTGAAGACAAAGAATTCAAATGACCAGCTGTCTGCAAGGAGTATAAATCCTTCCATTCCCCACTATCCTGTCAGAGCTGAAGAAGCTTCTTGCACGAGAAGCAAAACATCTTCAAAGAAAAAAACAAGGAAGTCCAGTTGCCTCTTAAAAAAGCACCTTTGGGACAAACATAACCTGAGAATCTCTACAGACTTTTTTCCATGTGACTTCAATAACTTCATTTTCCTCCTCCTGAAATAGGTCAAATTCTACATCAAGCAACTTCTAGAAGGGATCCTGTATCTTCACAGCAATGAAATATTACATTTGGACATCAAGGTAATTTTTTATGAACATTAGAATCTCTCACCTATCTAATTTCTAGTCTCATTTTAGGCATGAAAGCCAGCTGGGTGACTTTGGGCCAAACACCAGAAGGCTCTGAGTTCTAGTCCTGCCTTAGGCATGAAGGTTGGCTGGGTGACTTTTGGCCTATCACTCTGCCCAACCCACCTTCACAGGGTTGTTGTTGAGGGGAAAATAGGAAGAGGAAGGTGTGTTGGATGTGTTCACCGTCTTGAGTTATTTGTAAAAATAATAAAGGTGGGATATAAACTAAAATAAAATTTAAAATTTAAAAGAAAAGTAAAAACAAAATTAAGGTAATAAAATAAAAATTAAATTAAAATAATAAAATATAAAAATTATAAAAAATTATAAATAAATAAAATAAAATAAATTCTTCTTCCCCCATTTCTCTGCATCTAGGCTGCCATCTTGGAGTGAAGCTGCTAAAATCTATTTCTTCTTTTTTGACCAATTCTATCTATTCCTTCTTCTGGTCAGTTCCCACCATCTCTCTTCCATCTCTGCAATTTCCAATGGATCACAAGAAGGAAGAGATTAGAATAGAATTCTTTATTGGCCAAGTGTGATTGGACACTTGGCCAAGGAATTTGTCTCAATTTGTCCAGAAGCTCTCAGAAGCAATAATCATAATTATAATCATAAAATAAATTATCATAAATCATAGATACAACATTCAGTGATAGTCATAGTCTATCAATAGTCATTAAAGCAATCAAGATAAATCATAATAGGATACTAAATAAAAGCAATCAACTTAAATTGATACAAACAGATACAAACAGCAAAGTGATAGTCATAAGATGCTAAAGGGATAGGTAATAGGACAGATGAAAAGGAAAATAGTAATACAGCCCTACTACGTGGTTTGACATCCTAGGACATAAGACACTGCTATGGGAATTAGTTGTCTAATAGAGAGATGGCATGGGGGGAAACTGTCCTTGTGTCTAGTTGTTCTGAAGTGCAATGCCCCTATTGTGTCGTCTTGAGGGAAGAAGTTGAAACAGTTTATGTCTGGGATGTCTGGGATGTCTTATGTCAGGGGTCTGTAGATATTTTCTCAGCCCTCTTTGTAACCCGCAGAGTAGGCAGGTCCTCCATGGAAAGCGGGCTGGTTGCCATTCTTTTTTCTGCAATCCTAACTATCCCTAGAAGTCTGTGTTTGTCCTATTTGGTTGCTGTGCCAAACCAGACAGTTATAGAGGTACAAATGACAGACTCAAGAAAGGTCGTAAAACAGGGAAAACTCACTTAACAAATGTCTGAGCAACAGAAATTTGGGGCTCAATTGTGGTTGTAAGTTGAGGACTATCTGTATCTCAGAATTTCAGCAAGGAAAACCAGTTTGAGTTCCCTTTTTGCCAACAGGTTTAATGCCTCAATTCTTTTCCATACTGACGTTCCTCCTGTATCTACTTCTACAGCCCTCAAACATTTTGATGGTCCACCCCGACAGGGATGACATTAAGATCTGCGATTTTGGCTTTGCCCAAAGGATAAATCCGTCAGAGCCTCAGCACAGCATTTATGGATCTCCAGAATTTGTCCCACCAGAAGTACTGTCCAGGTCTCCAGTGTCAACGGCATCAGACATCTGGTAAATGAATCCTTTCTCTTCTTGTTCCTTTTAGTTTAGCTCTAATCTTCCTTGCTGCTTTTGGTGAGTCTTCTTGAAGATCAATGGAGAACCTTCTTGAAGATGTGGAGAACCAGGAAGGTTAACCCTAAATTAGTAGACCTGCAAAATGCTCTGGGCGTAATATGCTTAGACTTCAATAAGGCATTTAATGAAGTAGACCATAACCTCCTTCTTGGTAAGATAGAACAATGTGGGATAGATAGCATCACCACCAGATGGATTCAGAACTGGCTGACCAACCACACTTAAAGTGTAGTCTTCAGTGGAATACATCTACATGGAGGGAAGCATGCAGTGGGGTGCCACAAGGTTCAATCTTGGGCCCAGTATACTTCAACATAGAATAGAATAACAAGAGTTGGAAGGGACCTTGGAGGTCTTCTAGTCCAACCCTCTGTTTAGGCAGGAAACCCTACACCACTTCAGACAAATGGTTATCCAACATCTTCATAAATGATCTAGACAACGGGATAGAAAGGGAACTCCTCAAATTTGCAGATGACAGCAAACTGTAAGGAACAGCCAACACTTTAGAAGATAGGCTAAAGATTTAGAATAACAATAACAGAAGAGAATAACAGAGCTGGGAGGGATCTTGGAGGCCTTCTAGTCCAACCCAGTACTCAGGTAAGAAATACCATTTCAGACAAATGGCTGTCCAATCTCTTCTGAAGAATCTCCATTGTTGGAGCACTCACAACTTCTGGCAAGTCCTTCCACCGATTAATTGTTCTCTGTCTGAAGGAAACTTCAGACTTGAACATTGGGTCCTATCCAACAAGATGCATTACAGTGCTGAGAAAAGTATGGTCCTGCACTTAGGCAGGAAGAACTAAATGCACAGTTATAGTATAGGTGGTATCTGGCTCGATAGTTGCAACTGTGAGAGGAATCTAGGTGTACCCATGGACAACCACTTAAGTATGAGGCAGCAGTGTGTTGCAGCTGCCAAAAGCACCAATGCAGCCCAGAGCTGCATCATCAGAGGGATAACATCAAGATCACAAGAAGTGATAGTACCATATTATTCTGCACTGGTGAGGCCACACTTGGAATATTGTGTCCTGCTATGGTCACCATAATACAAAAAGGATGTTGATCCTCCAGAAAGAGTGCAGAGAAGAGCAACAAAGATGATGAAGAGTCTAGAAGCTAAATTCATACGATGAATGGTTGAGTGACCTAGGTACGTCTAGCATATCGAAGAAAAGAATCAGGGGAGACATGGTCACTTTCTTCCAGCACTTGTCAAGAGAAAACGGGGTCAACCTATTACCCAAAACACCAGAGGGCATAAGAAGTAATGGGTGGAAGCTCATCAGAGGAAGATCCAGCTTGGAAATAAGAAGAAATTTCTTGACAGTGAGCACAATTATCCAACGGAACAACTTTCCTCAAATTGGATAATCCATCACTGGAGGTTTTCAAGAAGAGACTGGACAACTATTTGACCAGGATGGTGTAAGGTCTTCTCTCCTGCCTTGAGTAAAGGGCTGGACTAGAAGACTTCAGAAGTCCCTTCCATCATTTTTCTAGGTTCTAATCTTTTGTGTTTTGGAATTGATCTCCAGAATTTACTGGCTCATGGCTCGGTATCATTGAGAAACAAAGGAACAATGGGAGATTCTTCTAACGGTAGAAGAAACCAGCTCATCCTTCATGGTAGAGTTTCTCAACCATGGCAACTTTTAAGATTCTGGCCACCCATCTTAAGTTTGCCAAGTTGAGAAACTCTGTTTCAGGGCACCAGAACCAGGGAATGTTGGTCTATCAAGGCTTTATGGGAACTGAAATTCTTTTCTAATATTTGTTTCTTTTCTTTTAGGCCAGTTGGGGTTATTAGCTATTTAAGGTAAGCATATGAGACCTTAAAACATTGTCGTACTACACATAAATCCTCGACCTGCGACCCAAATCTAGCCCAACATTTCCATTGCTAAGGAAGACAGTTATTAAAAGGGTTTCGCTTCATTTTACGATCTTTCTCGCCACAGTTGTTAAGTGAATCAATGCAGTTGTTAAATGAGTCACATGGATATTAAATTAATCGGGCTTCCCCAATTGACTTTGTTTGTCAGAAGGTCACAAAATAGGATCACGTGATCCTGGGACATTGCAACTGTCATAAATACAAGCCAGTTGCCAAGCATCTGAATTTTGATCATGTGACCATGGAAATGTGGCAATGGTCATAAGTGTGAAAAACGGTCACAAGTCACCTTTTAAATGCCGTCGCAACTTTAAACAGTCACTAAACAAATGGTTCTAAGTTGAGGATTACCTGTAGGCCTTATCACCAAAAATTGTCTTTTTTTCCTCAAACAATCAGCTTGACCTGCAAGTCTCCCTTTGCTGGGGAAAATGACAGAGCAACCCTGCTCAATATCCAGAATGGAATTGTTTCATGGAATAGCTCTGATTGGGATCATTTGAGCAAAGAAGCCAAGGGTTTTATCGAAAAGATCCTTCAGCCAGCTCCTGGGTGAGTTGGATGAATACACACTTCTCATTTTCATTTCAGAGAGATAGCAAAGGAACGAGGTATTTCTAAATATCAAGTCTTTTTCTTCAGGATTTTAGGATAGACTTGAGGGAGAGATGGGCTCTGGAAAAGCCACCAGTCTCTGAAGTTCTTGGTGCTCTCTGAGCTTGGTGGTTTTCTTGCAGAAGTTTTCACAACCCAGCTAGGTAACATTTTAATCAATAGAATAAAACATTAAAAACCAAATAATTTAAGATTTAAAAATGTGAAATGTGTGATAATGCAACATTGGGGGTGGATATTTTTTAGAAGTGGACAATTAGGCCCAAAAGCGGAACAGTGATCGATGGCAAAAAGCTGCCGAAGAAGAGATTTCAGAGCATGAACAGAGTGCTGATGATCTTAGCCTGAATTCACACAACCCCATGGGACCTTTGTCAGTTACCATATTAACCCACCTTTCGGTTCAAGATCAGTTCTTTCCAGACACACCAGAGTCATTGAAAAATTCTTTGAATACATAGCTGTACCTTGAATTATCAAGTAAAACCTGGTTTATTGTTTCTCTTTACAGAACCAGGCCAAGTGCGATGGAGTGCCTCTCTCATCCCTGGTTTTCTGTAAGTTTTGATCGCTGTTGAAGGCCTGGAAGAATCAGATTTTGATTCTCATCCCCCTTTCCCCCTAATCTGGACTGCAGGGATGTCTGTGAGGGCAGAGAGGTCAAAAAAGTCAAGATGGCAATCCAACGGGACAGGGATCAGATTGCTCAGTTGCAATTTCCATATTCATTTTGTAACCTCCCCAATTTGGAGGATGCCTTTGCTAAGACTGTCTTTGTCAAAGTGTGGGCTTCTCTCAAAATGTGTAATTTACAGCAGGAATATAAAGGAATAACAGTGTCTTTTGACCTGGTAGCTTGGTTTTTTTCTAAACATGAACAAATCCAGACGAATAGTAGAAGCTCTGGTTTTCAAATAAATCGGGATATTTGCTGGGTGTTTGAAGATATGTGACCCAGAATTTATTTTCAAACTGATATATTCCTTTACAGCACAAATCACCACCTGAAGAGGGTCATTTTATTGAGACAAAACCGCTCAACTTTTTTGTATCCCGAAGCAAATGGCAGGTTAGTAAGAAGCTTTACCCCGATGTACAATTATTTTGGCTTCACTTGTGTCAGTGTTTTGGGATCCGTTATATGCATTGTTACGCATATTTTCAAATTTTTACTTTAGAGATAGAATATATCCAATACAGACCCTCCTGTTTATTCCTAAGGAAGCTGGCAAACTTGGAAAAAGAATAATTTAGATTTTAAATGGACATTTAAATGGCTTAAATGTTGTTCCAAGATTCCTTGTCCCATGTACCTGTATTAACAACAAGCCCAAAGGTAGCATTCCTCAATGTTGGCATCTTTAAAGACATGTGGACTTCAACTCCCAGAATTCCCCAGCCAGCATGGTTGGTTGGATAATTCTGGGAGGTTGAAATCCAGATATCTTTAATATTGCTAAGGTTGAGATATGTGGCTTCTTAATAGCTGCTATTTATTTTATGTTTGGATTTATCTGCTGCCCATTTCATTAATATATGTAGTCCTTGGCATATGACTACAATTAAGCCCAAAACTTTTGTTGCTAAGCCAGACACTTGTGATGTAAGTTCTGCCCCATTTTACAAATTTCCTTGCCACAGTTGTTAAGCAAATCACTGCGGTTGTTAAGTTAGTCCCACAGTTGTGAAGGGAATCTGGCTTCTCCATTGATTTTGCTTGTCAGAAGTTCGCAAAAGGGGATTGTGTGACCCCAGGACACTGCGACCGTCATAAATATGAGTCAGTTGCCAAGTGCCTGCATGTGGATTCTGTGACCTGCAACAGCTGTAAGTGTGAAAACCGGTCACAAATCATTTTTTTCAACGCTGTTGTAACTTTAAAACTCTAAACGAATGGCCGTAAGTCGAGGACTACCAGTATCTGCTAGCCATATTTCAAAAATATAACAACTTTCAAAAATAGACTGCAAAAATCAAATGTGGTTTCCTATTAATTCCTGATTCACAGCAGCTTTGTAAAGAAATAGAATACAAACAATCCTCAACTAAGGACAACAATTGAGCCCAAAATTTCTGTTGCTAAGCGAGAGAGTTGTTAAATGAGTTTTGCCCCATTCTACGACCATTGTGGCCACAGTTGCGAAATAATCACTGCAGTTGTTAAGTTAGTAACACGGTTGTTAAGTGAATCTGGCTTCCCCATTGACTTCACTTGTCAGAAAGTCACAAAAGGGGATCACATGACCCGGGACACTGAAACTGTCATAAATATGAGTCACTTGCTCAAGTGTCTGATTTTGGATCAAGCGACCATGGGGATTCTGCAACAGTTATAAGTGTGAAAAATGGTCATAAGTCACCTTTTTCAGGGCTGTTGTAATGCTGAATGGTCAGTAAACGAATAGTTGTAAGTCAAGGACTACCTATATTGCAGATGTTTTTTGTGAAATTATTTGTTGTATAATCATCATTTTGACCATGGTGATGTAGTAGCAGCATATGGGAATGCATCATTACTAGATTGAACAGCCATTTGTCCGGAATGGTATAGAGCAGTGATGGCTAACCTTTTTGCCATTGCGTGCCAGGAGAGGGGGGGACAGGGGAGGGTCACATGTGCACGTGCCCACGCGCATGCGCATGCAACCCCACCTACCCCCGCTCCTGGTACATGATGGTCTGGTAGGCCCGTTTTTCTTTCTTATCTGACTCTCGGTGGGACAGGAAGTGACATTTTTTGCTGTCCGCAGCCTCCAGAACCTCTCTAGGAGTCTTTAGGAGCCTCTCTAGGAGTCTTTGGAGGCTGGGGACAGGAAAAAACGTCACTTCCTGTCCCACCGGGAGTTGGGAAATGGGCCCTTTCAGCCTCCGTAGGGCCTCCAAGGGAGTGGGAAAGGCTGTTTTCGCCCTTCCCAGATGCATAGAGAGGATTTGAGCCAGGTAAGAAAGAAAAATGGACTCCCCCCCCCCAGGCCCTCCAGAGGCAGGAAACAGCCTGTTTCCCTAATTCTGGTGGGCCCAGAAGGCCCGAAAATCAGCTGGCCGGTGCACGCATGCGCCCCAGAGCTGAGCTGGCATGCCCACTAATATGACTCTGCGTGCCAACTATGGCACGCGTGCCATAGGTTCACCATCACGGGTATAGGATCTCCCTCTTGAACAGAGGGTTGGATTAGATGACCTCCCAGGTCCCTTCCAACCCCATGATTCTAGGTTCTATCATATTGTGTTTGGGCTGGCCTCAGTTTTCTCTTTTCCGCTCTTTTAACCTTCCTCTTCTGTCATTCCTTTCATGCCCAGCGGTCTCTTATGAGCTACAAGTCGTTGCTTGTTATGAGACCAATCCCAGAAATTCTGGAAAAGCATCACAAGAACACGTCGCTTGGAGTCTCCCGACAACTGGTCGAAGAAAGCAGTTCCTCCAGCACGAGTGGGTCATCTTCGGACAACGAAATTTTGGTCTCCTCTGGAAAAAAGCCTTTTGGACCCATCCCAGAGGTTCGTCTATCTGTGCTGAAAGACTCAAACAATCAAGATGATGAAGTATTTGAAGATGAGTTCAAACTTCCTGATGACTCCATGCCACCCATCAAAACCAGAAGGTTGAAGGAACCTTCAGCAAAAGGACATCCTGTCCGAGAACGAGAAATCTCCGAAGTTGACCCCCATGGAAGAACAGTGTTTGAGCTGGCTTCGTTACAAGATCAAACTGGATTGTTGCCTCCAGAAGAAAGAAGAATAGAACGGTCTCCAGGCTGTGTCCCGAGACATAGCGTCATCAAAAGCACTTTTTACAGCCACCCGTCAGAAAATCTTACTGATTTTCCCTCCTCGCCAGGAAAAGGGCAAAGGAAACAATTAGAAAAAGCTAAGAGATCTTACAGAAAAGCTGGATACTCAAAGTCCGCTTTAACAGGTCTACGGGAACCCTTGCTAGAACGGTTTGAACTTGGTGGAGAAGGAAGACCGTTGGCAGATGCAGAATTGGGGAAGGAACGAGAAGTAAGTTATGGACCCCTAATCACCAAATCAGCTTCTTTTGATACTGCTCAGAAATCGCCCAAAGTGACTTTCCAGGTATCCGCCAGGAGCCGTTCTTTGGATGACTACATAATAAGAGCCGGGAGCTTCGCTGAGGAGCAGGAGATTGCAGACGAAGACCTGGACACCATGGTGCAGGGTGGTCCAGCAGAAGGAACTCATGTGAAGGATGAAAAAACGTCAGCAGCAAAAGCTAGGGAGGGTTTTTCTGAAGAACACCCAATGTTAGTCCCACTGGATGACAAGGAAAGATCCAAGTTGGGCCTTCAGCAGGACAAGAAGACCTTGATTTTGGCACAAGACTCTGAAAAAGAGGAGGATTTACCTCAGAAAATGAAGGTGCCACATTTTGTGGGAAGATCTCCTCAAGGCAGAGAAGATTTGAGTCTAGAAGCTCAGCAATCTGGTTTTGCTTCAGGGTTGGTTTCAAAAAGTGACATTGAGGAGGAGCAGAGATCCATGTCTTCTCCTCACAGGGATGGACAAATTGTTTTTCCAAAGGGGAAAACCTCTGTTTTGAGAGTGCCACCATCAGGGAGCCCACATTTGGTGTCTCAGGATAGCAAGGAGGAAAAACTGCCCCGTGAGGCAACCCCAACTTCTCCCAAGAATATTGAAGGACGTCAACTTCAACAAGGAGAAAATCTTCATCTTCTGAAAGCTGTTCCTTTGCACATCTCCCATGTTCAGGCTGAGAAACAGCTTGCTGGTGCTCCAGACAAGAGTCCCAAAGACCTACAGACTGTGCCAGTGCTTGAAGGCCAGAAACCTTTACATCAATTGCCTGTTGCACACCTGGAAAGGAAGCTACCTGTTGCAAAAACTGAAGGTCCTGTTCATCCAGAGATTGTTGCTCTGGGAAGAAGCCAGCAACCATCACAACGAGAGTCTCCTCTTTACAGAAGACCGTCTCCTACTACCCCAAGAAGTGCTGCTGCTCAGATGCAAGCATCTTCCCAACCAGGATCCACCTCAGAACCCATACTTCCTGGAGAAATCCAGATAGCCTCACTTCCAAAGTCCTCTGCTTACCCAGAAAGAGAGTCTCTTCTCACAGAGGTTCAGCGTACTCCTCAAGCCCAAGCAGATCTGATGTCCTTCTTTGAAGCTGAAAAATATGAGCTCTACCACCACCTGCCATCTGCTCCTAGTGAAGCCCTCAAGGGCCAAATACCCATCGTAGCAGGCTATTCTCAAGCAAAAATGAGACAGTTTGCAACCTCTGGAGAAAAAGGCTCCATAACTCAAATGAAAAGACCATATTCTATTGGAGAAGGCAGAAGCCACGAGCAGAGACTTTACAGTGACCCAGAGGTTTACGTTCTGGAGAACTTAGCGGAGAAGATGGCTTACCGCTCGAAAGCAACACTTCCTTGGTCAGAGTCACCCCAAGATGAGATGCTCCATCAAACGTCACCTGGCCAAGCAGTGAGACCGAAAAGTAGGTATCTGGTGCGCAGAGGCAAGAGAGAAGGTGGCATTGGCCTAGCAGATCCTTCAGAAGCCGATATTATCTATCCTGGAGAAGAAGACTATTTCAGTCTTCAGTCTTACCTGAGCAAGAAAGCCAGGATGTCTTCTTCTTATGAAGGCTTGGATTATCCAGGAGGTAGCCGAATGTATGAAATTGCCCTTGTGCAGATCCAGGACCTCTCAGAGATGCCTCGTCCCGACAGCAAGACCTCCAAATTTGATATCACGGAGGTGGAACCAGCTTTCCTCAACCTTCATGAACTCTATGACATTGTCTATTCTCCATTCGAGTTCCTGAGTTTCAGGAAAGCTCCTGAGAATTTGCCCAGCAAAAGGCCACCTGGATCCAAACTCCCTTCTCAGCAGGAGAAAAAAATATGTCTCAGGGAGGATAATTTGGGCCTCAAGGAACTTTCTGGAGAAGAAGAAATAGATGCCCTCAAAATGGAGGTGGGTCCTGAACCAGCCATAGCACTACGGATAGGGAAGAGGTCTGACTCGGAAGGTGATCTACCGATGGGGTCCCAGTATGATCTCCCATCAGATCCAACGAGGAAGAGGAAGAGTTCTCTCCAGAGTGCCTTAGGACTTTTCAAGCCGGTTGTCCGCTCTCAGTCCATGGAGCAGGTGGAACTCAGTCTGAGGAAGAGGATGAAGGCATCTGTAGCTCAGTTCTCGAAGATGTTGACCAGAAAACTGTCCAGTGAAGACACCAGAACAGGTAATGATTATCTTGGCTGATATGAGCCAAAGAAAATGTAAGGTGTTTTAGGTGCCCCAGCCTACTTAAGGTGTCTCCTCATGACCAAACCTCCAACACTAAAACAGAAATGTCCTCCACCAGAGATGTCCTCAGGATCATTACAGAAGTAGAGATATCCTGGGTGCAGAAATGGATGTTAGAGTAAGCCAAGCCATAACTCAATAGTGGGAAAGGGGAAATATATTTATTTATTTATATATCAAATGTAGAAACAGTGAAGGAGAACCTCAAAATAACCTGGCTGGATTCTGGATACAGAGATCACCTGGGATGCTTTTAAGAGATCTTTGTCACATCCTACAACAATAAAGTATTATTTCTGGAATTTTTGTGGGGTCTATTTCAAGATCCTCTTCAAAGAGTTGACAGGTCTGGTCTCAATCCAGCTTCTAAAAAGTACTTCAAGATATTTGTGAAGGACATCCTGGTTAAGAGAGGCCCAAAAAAGCAGCAGTCTCCAAAATTTGTAACTTTAAGACTTGTGAACTTCAACTCCCAGTATTCCCCCAACCAGCATGATTCTAAGAATTTAAATGCTTACACATGAACACTCAAAGTTTAGGGAACAAACAGGATGAACTTGAAGTACTAATACACGAGGTTAGATATGATATAGTTGCCATTACAGAAACTTGGTGGAATGAAACTCATGACTGGAATGTACTAATAGAAGAACAAATTATTCAAAAGAAAAAGACCTAACAAAAGAGGAGTTTTGCATTATATGTTAGAGAACCAAAATCAAGAAAATAATGGGTGGAAACTAATCAAGAAGAGAAGCAACCTATAACTAAGGAGAAAATTCCTGACAGGGAGAACAATTAATAAGTGGAACAACTTGCCTCCAGAAGTTGTAAATGCTCCAACACTCGAGGTTTTTAAGAAGAGGTTGGATAACCATTTGTCTGAAGTGGTGTAGGGTTTCCTGCCTGAGCAGAGGGCTGGACTAGAAGACCTCCAAGGTCCCTTCCAACTCTGTAAGAATTGTAAGAATTCTAGGAGTTGAAATGCAAAAGAAAAGGGGAAGACTTGGCTGGCTGAGGAATTCTGGGAGTTGAAGTTCACAAGTTGCTAAGTTTGGAGATTTCTGCAAAACAGAATGGAGCTTCAGATCTCCTGGCTGCCACACTCCCTCACCTTTTTGGTGGTCCTCTATTTTCTAGCCTCTGAGGAAGTCAAGAGTGAGCAAGCTGAGAGGACTTCCTTGACAGAGCCTTCCCCAACTTCCAAAAAGAAACGGATGTTCTCGTCATTCACCTTGCCAAGCCTCAAGACCAAGGACAAAGGTATAGCAACCGAGGCAGGGGGAAACTGAAGGAAGGTTGGGAAGGTTGAAGTGGAGGACTGAGGGTTGAAGGGAGGATTTGGGTCCTGGGTTTGATCTCTGCCTTCTGCCTTTTTTTTTTTTTAATTTGAGTTGTATGCCGCCCTCAGGGTGGCTTACAATGCGTTAAGCAATAGCCTTCATCCTTTTGTATATTTATACAAAGGCAGCTTATTGCCCCCATAACTGGGTCCTCAATTTACCTACCTTAGAAAGGATGGAAGGCTGAGTCAACCTTGAGCCTGGTAAGATTCGAACCTGCAGTAATTGCAGGCAGCTGGTCTAAATAACAGGGTGCTTTAGACCACTGTACTATCAAGGCTCTTATTTTTAACCATGGGGGTCTTTGGTTTAGAAATGCACTGAATAATAAATAAATATTTGGGAAGGAGGGAAGGAGGGGAAATAGGAAGGAAGGAAACTGAAAGGAAGGAAGGAATAGCAATAATAAAACCAACCAAAAAAATCCATGGTCTGCTGCATTTTGCCCCAGAAATAGTTCTGAAGAGTCTTCAAGGGCCACCTCATGTAGCAAATGTTATAGTAGTCTAGCCACAACTTCTAAAAAAGGGCTGGAAAGTTCCTCTTTCAGTTCTCACACTTCTGGACTCTGTTCCTAATTTTTGACATTAGTTTGGAAAGTCCAAGTGAACTTTCTTAGTTCGATTGGGCTTGGTCAGTAACGGGTTGGATGATTTCCCCAGAAGCAAAACTAGTATATTTTCAGAATCAAGATATTTACTCACAAGCCCATGATACAAAACTATCCCTTCTCCTTTCCAGGACCTTCTTTCACAGAAGAGCTCACCGATCAGACCGTTGCCATCGGACAATCTCTGACCCTCTCCTGCCGGACCTCTTCCCATTCCTCCTCTGGCGTCGAATGGTTCAAAGGTACCATAGTTGCTCATATCAGGGGTGGACAGGTTGACAGGATCTTCCCTTCTTCCAGGCAGGTCCCTCTTCATCTCCTGGCTTCTTTTTCAAACTCCTTCCTGCAGGTTGACAACAACATAACCTGGGGTCTTTGAAGCTCCCTGAGCTGGGTTATTTTAATTGCAGGCGTTTCGTTACCAAACTAAATCATATCATCAGTAATAGAAGAGAGTGGGGTTTGCAGGGAGGGAGGGAGGAAGGAAGGGAGGGAGGGAGGGAGGGAGGGAGGGAAGGAAGACTGTGGGGTCCTTGGTGCTCCCTGAGCCAGATTGTTTTTCTTGCAGACGTTTCATTACCAATCTAATCTAATATCAATCTAATATCATCAGTGTTAGTAAGTGCTCAACTGTTGAACAGGTGACACATTTTGCTATCAATTGACCTTGCCTACTTACTTTAAAGCTTTCTGGGGTTTTGAGGGTTGTGGTGTGCTTTGGATCACAGACAAAAGGGGACTTTGGCACACGCAAGAATGCTCAAACAACATTTTGCAGCTCCTCAAAGCCAGGGGTATTTTCACCCAGAGTGTAGTCACAGTCCTGTGCCAAGTGCCCCTTGACCCTGAGAAAAGATGCATTTGGTTTAAGGTCTTGCAGGTGAGTGCGGCAGGTGTTCCTCTGCATGCTTTGAAACTCTGCTTGGAAACCAAATGCTGATCGTTCCTCTAAATGGAGCCCTTTTATCCTCCAAAATCCTCTTTTGTCCAGTGATATTTCCAAGCTATATTCCTTATATAAGTAGTCCTCCATTTACAGCCATTCATTTAGCAATCAGGAAAAGGAAGGAAGGAAGGAAGGAAGGAAGGAAGGAAGGAAGGAAGGAAGGAAGGAAAAAGTGGAAGGAGGAAGAGGGAGGGAGGGAGGGAGGAAAAAGTGGAGGGAGGAAGGGAGGAAGGAAGGAAAAAAGGAAGGAAGGAAGGAAAAAGTAGAAGGAGGGAGAGGGAGGGAGGGAGAAAGGGAGGAAAAAGTGCAGGAAGGAAGGAGGGAAGGGAAGGAAGGAAAGAAGGAAGGGAGGAAGGAGGGAAGGGAAGAAGGAAGAAAAAAGTGAAGGGAAGGAGGAAGGAAGGAAGGAAAGAAGGAAGGAAAAAGTGGAAGGAGGGAGGGAGGGAGAAAGGAAAAAGGAAGGAAGGAAGAAAAAAGTGGAAGGAGGAAGAGGAGGAAGGAAGGAAGTTCAAAGTTACAACAGCATTGAAAAAAGTGACTTGCAACTGGTCCTAACACAACTATTGCAGCATCCTCGTGGTCACATGATCAAAATTCAGCCAATCAGCCGTCATGTATATTTGTGACAGTTGCAGTGTCCTGGGGTCATGTGATCACCATTTGTGACCTTCCCAGCCGGTTTCCGACAAGTAAAGTCAATGGGTGATGCCGGATTTGCTTAACAATCGTGAGATTCACTTAAGAACTGCTGCAATTCACTTAACAACCTTAGCAAAAAAAAGAGGTCATGAAATCGGGCATGGCTCACTTAATGACCTCACTTAGCAACAGAAGTTTTGGTCCCCATTATGGCCATAAGTCGAGGACTACCTATAATTTGTGGGACTCCTGATTCCAGGCGTTCCAAAGAAATTTTAGGCAGTTGCCAAATTCCTAGCAATTTTCTTTTTATCGCCTTCCAGACGGAGCAGCGATTTGCAACACGGATCGGATCCTGATTTCTTCGACTCTAAAACGGTTCCAGCTTTTAACCGTGTTATCAGCTACAATAGCAGACTTTGGCGTGTACACCTGTAAGGCTACCAGTTCCCACGGAGCCGTTTCTACCTCCTGCACCATAAGGAAAGCAGGTAAAAGATGGTTTCCTTCCCCTTTGCACCCCAGGATCAAAGAAGGCTGCAACCTGTCACCCCTTCTGCACCCCTCAGAAATTGTGGGTCCAAAAATGGGAACGTAGAGGAGATTTAGGGAAGGAAAAATTATCTATCCTTGTGCTGCCTGAAGGGATTTCACCCTTAAAAATCTCCCCGAAACTTAAGATAGTCTTTGCCAGGGGATTGAGGGGCATTTTACACCATCAGCTTTCTCCCAAACTCCCTCTGGCCCCTTGATGATGTTTGTGTTTTTTTCCACCAGTTCTGTCTTGTATTTGTTTAGTTATCTGTTTATACTCTGTCTATTCATACATCTCTCATTCTCCACGTCTTTCTCTTTCCATTCATCTACATTCATATCTGTACCTGTCTATCTCTATCTATCTATCTGTCTTTCTTTTTTTTTAAATTAAATTTTTATTGAAATATGTAAAAATACAATTTTCGGTTTAGCAGTGTTCATACATATATACAGATTATATACATGGTGTTCCATAATTACTTGATTATTATTGATAGTGTTAGGGTGTGCGTAAAAAGTATTTGTTGCTTGTGCAACGAGCAGAGCAGAAACACACAGGGAAGGAGATAAACGTGCAGCTCGTGTGAGAAAAATACTTTATAGATAACAAGCAGTCTCGGTGTAAGTAAAACAGTCCAAGGTCATAAACAGTAATATCAGTCCAGTAAGTATCTTCCCTTACCAAAGCAAACAGACTTTAGTAACTCTTGGTATACAGTACCATATAACAGACGCAGTAAGCAACAGGATACAATCAGGTATCAATCCGGAAGAAGCAGGAAGAAGGAACGCTTCTCTGTGCTGCTTATTTATGCACTGTAGCCTAATTACAGGGTTCAGCAAACCCTGATTACGTGGCTCAGTTGTTTCTTAAAGAAACAGATATATTGCCTGACCAACATGTTAGGAGTAAGCTGCAAGCTGAACCTAACAGATAGTAGCACCCTCTCTTATTCTACCTTATACTTTTTTCTTCCATCCACTTATACCACAATAATATTCCGAATTCTCTTTTTCGTTTATCACATATGTTAACTTATTCATCTCGGCGCATTCTAGTATTTTTCTAATTACATGTTCTTCCAGTGGTAGCCCTTTCTCTTTCCAATACTGTGTGTATATTATTCTGGCAGCTGTTATGACATGTATAATTAGGTACCTCTTTTTTTTCTCATAGGCCCTTTTCAGTATTCCCAGGAGAAAAGTTTCGGATTCCAAATCGATATTTTCCTCTATTATTTCTTGAATCCATCTTCGAACCATTTTCCAAAATTTCGTTGCTTCGGGGCATGTCCACCACATATGGTAGAAGGTGCCTTGATGATGACTGCATTTCCAACAGTTTGAGCTCGTGTTAGGGTAAATTTTTGCTATCCTAGTAGGGGCTAAATGCCACCTGTATAGCATTTTATATTGATTTTCTTTATATGCTACTGCCCTTGTCAATTTAAGATTGCTGTTCCAGATTGTTTCCCATTCATTTAAATTTATACTGTGTCCAATGTTTTTAGCCCAAGCGATCATTTGGTCTTTGACTACCTCTTCTACTCTATCATATTCGAACAAATAATTATATAATTTAGCTAATAATTTATTTTTGGTTCCCATCCATATCTTGTCAAATCCATTGGCTCCTGTTTCTGTACCAAACTCCTCCTTGTCTTTTTGGTATCGGGACTTTATTTGTACATACGGCCACCAATCGATATGAATGCCTTGTTTTTTTAACGCCTCATTCGTTTTAAGATTCCCACCACCATCTAAGATATCCTTATATTTGAGCGTTTTCCCAATTTCTAAGGCATTAGGATATATTATGGCCTCCATTGTGGAGAGCCATTTCGGGACTTTCGTATACTGCTTTTGCCTTATTTCCCTCCAGGTCTGCATTAACATGTCTCTTATTTTATGCCTGTGAAAATATGTCCTTGTCCTTTTGCCTGTGTCCCATAGATAGGCATGCCAGCCCTTCTGCAGGTCATGCCCTTCCAAAGCCAAAATTCTTTTGTTTTCCAAGATAGCCCATTACCTTAGCCACACCAAATTGGCTGCTTTATAGTACACTTCCCATGTTGGGAGTCCAAATCCACCCCTATTCCTTTTATTCGGATCGGATCCTAGGTTTTTTCCCTCCCCAGATGAATTTCCCGATGATAGTGTTCAATTCTAAGAATTTTTTTTTTATCTAGGCTGACTGGCGTAGGTTGGAACAGATATAACAGCTTAGGCAGGACACTCATCTTTATTGATGCTATCCTGCCTAAAAGTTATATTTATAATTTCCCCCATCTTTCCAGATCTTGTTTAATGCTTTTAATCAGGGGCACTTAATCTTCCTTTAGGGCCAAACATCTTGCCGTTATCCATACTCCCAGATATTTTATTTTCTTAATTATTTGCAGACCCAGGGATTCTTCTAGTGCTTTCTTTTGCTCTTCCGACAGGTTTTTGGTCAGCATTTTAGTTTTGGTTTTATTTAATTTAAATCCGGACACTACTCCATACTTCCCCAATTCCTCCAAATTTTTTTGACCCGTTTCTAAGGGTTCCTCCATAATTAAGGTTACATCATCGGCAAATGCCTGGCCCTTGTATACTTCTTTCCTAATTTTCAATCCTTTAATTTCATTATTATTCCTAATTCTTCTTAATAGGGCTTCTAGGGCCAATATAAACAATAATAGTGACAACGGGCATCCTTGTCTTACCCCCTTCCTGATTTGAAAGGTTTTTGTCATATCCCCATTTAATAAAATGTTCGCTCTTCGTTTGTCATAGATTGTTGTTATCATATTCTCGAAATTTACTCCAAATTTCATCATTTTAATCTGCTGAACCATGAACTCCCAATTCAAATTGTCAAACGCTTTCTGGGCGTCTAAGAAAACAAGTGCCATTTGCTTGTCCAGGTGGGCTTCATGGTATTCTAGGATATCAATCACTACTCTTGTATTGTTCCTTATCTGTCTTCCGGGGAGAAATCCATTTTAGTCGGTATGTAGCAAATTGTTTAGTATCTTCTTCACTCTTTCTGCTATTACACTCATAAAAATTTTGTAATCTGTATTTAAAAGGGAGATTGGCCTGTAATTTTTTATCTGTTTTGAATCAGCACCTTCTTTTTGCAATAACGTGATGTATGCCTCCCTCCACGAATTTGGAATTTTAGATCTTATCAGGGCCTCATTACAAATTTCCAATAATTTCGGTAAAAGTATTTCCTCCAAGTCCAAATGTTTATACAATTCTCCTGGGAATCCATCCGGGCCTGGTGATTTATTGTTTTTAAGTTTGGATATTGCCGTCTTTAATTCCGTTATTGTGATTTCCCTATTCAGCATTTCCCTCTCTTCCTCTCCTATCAATGGAAGTTTTTCCTGTCAGATATTGTTCAATTTTTTTCCTTGGAATTTCTTCCTCCTTGTATAGTGCAGCATAATATTCTTGAGCAATTTCAAGCTTATCCTCTTCTTTATTCACTATACGTCCCTCTATATCTTCCAATTGGTAGATGATCCCTTTCTCATTCTCCTTTTTTAATTTGCAAGACAGCCATCTGCCCAGTTTGTTTGCATTTTCAAAGTAATATTGTTTGGATCGTTTTATCTTGTAGGCCAATTCTTCCTGATCTAGAATATTCAATTGGTGTCTTAATATCGTCCAGCTTTTTTTTGCCACCTTATCTCCTGGGTTTTGCTGCAAGTTCTTTTCTGCTATCTATCTGTCTTTCTATCCACCAATTATTTCTTCTCTCTCTCTCTCTCTCTCTTCTCTCTGTTATCTATGTATTATCTATGTATTATTTCTTTATCTGTCTGTCTCTGTCAGTCAGTCTGTCTGTCTGTCTGTCTGTCTATCTATCTATCTACAGCAGTGGTTCTCAACCTTCCTAATGCCGCAACCCTTTAATACAATTCCTCGTGTTGTGCTGACCCCCAACCAGGGGTGGGTTCTAATTTTTTTTACTACTGGTTCTGTGGGCGTGGCTTATTTTGTGGGTGTGGCTTGGAGGTCATGTGACTGGGTAGGCGTGGCTAGCTGGTCATGTGACTGGGCGGCCATGGCTATGTGTAGAGGGACTACTCAGAGGGCTGAAAAGTCATTTCTGACAGGTCCTCGCACTTTTGACCGGTCCTCACACTTATGACCATCCTCACATTTATGCCCGTGCACCATTCTTAACAACCATGTCACTCATTTCACAACTGCTTCTCTTCACCATGGTGATAAGATAGGGCAAAAAACATAAAATGTGAGGACAGTCGTAAATTCGAGGACTGGTCAAAAGTGCGAGGACCAATCAAAAATAACTTTTTCAGCCCTCTGAGTAGTCCATGTGCACAAAAGAACTACCCAGAGGGCTGAAAAAAGTGATTTCTGACAGGTCCTCGCACTTTTGACCGGTCTTCGCACTTATGACTGGTCATCATTTATGCCCATTGTAGCATTCTTAACAACCGTGTCACTCATTTCACAACTGCTTCTCTTCACCATGGTGACAAGATAGGGCAAAAACATAAAATATGAGGAGAGTCGTAAGTTCGAGGACTGGTCAAAAGTGCGAGGACCAGTCAAAAATAACTTTTTCAGCCCTCTGAGTAGTCCATATGCATAAAAGGATACAGCAATAGAGAGGGATGAAGGAAGGGAAGGGAAATTAGAGTAGGAGTGACGGTAAGAGAGGGAGGAAGAGAGGAGGAGAAGGAGAAAGGAAGAGAAAGTAGGGAGGAGAAGGGGGGGAAGAGAAAGTAAGAAGGAAAGAAAAGAGAGAGGTGGTAGGTTTGAGGAGAAAGATTGCTGTACAATAAAAAAGATGAAAGGGAAGAAAACCAACCCCAAACAAATATGAAGATATTAAGATAAAGAATGAATTGTTAAACTTTAAAGAATAAAAGAGAACAAATATGAATAAATAGCAATAATTAGAAACACACATACAAACATACAATGTATTTTCTTTGAACAGAGTATTTGGCCGGTTCACAAATTTAAACAGTGTTTAGTCATTTCAATTAAATTTATAATTTCTATATTTCCTTTTTGCCATATTTATTCCTCATCTATTTTTTAAAAAAACCAATATTACCCTTCATCCTCATCTCTAATCTTAATCAAATTCAATTTTTCCCTTCTATTCTATATTATACCCCTTCCCATTGTCATCTATTTTGATATCCATCCTCACATTGGTTAATTATGTAATTATGTAATACAGTTGTTTAATACAAATTCAACATTTTAATATAAATCAATTAGTTATATAACTATCTTTTTTGTATATTAATCAATATGAAGATGAATATTCCAATTATTTCCATGCCATCCAATTTCTTACAAATCAATTAATTATATTTACCAATAATAATAAACCAAATAATTTCCCCCATATATTCCTCCAAACCACAATTTAACCATTTCTGCTTTCAACACAATATACAATTAATAGTATCTCAATTATTACAATTCACTAGTTAAATAGATCTTTTTTTCTTTTGTGTTTTAAAATCTTGAACTCTCCTCTTTTGCCCTAAATTTCCCATTGTTTGCAGTTTTGCACCTACCTTTTCTTGGTGAGGAAAAAGGAAAAGAAATCTCTGTCTGCCTCATTTTGTCACGTTGCAGCAAAGACCCTGCTTTACTTTCAGTTTCGTTTTTTCAGCATAGCTAGGGGGGAAAAAATCTGCTCCAGATTTTTTTGCAGCCAGCAACAGAGCCCTCCGCAAAACAGCTGAGAGCAAATCAGTTGAGAGTTGAGGCTGATCTAATCAACTTGTGCTAATTAACCTATCCTGAAGCTGAAAGGGGCTGTTTTTTCTATTTTTGCAGGCACCAGTCTACTCATTTGTTTTCTTTTAACACTGATCAGCTGTAGGGCGGCCCTTTGAAGCCCCGCGGCAAGAATTTAAACAGTTTTTTTCCCTCTAGCCATCAGCTGGGACTCAGGAGGCAGCAATAGATTGAGAGTGGGCGGGATAAGCAAATGGCTGGCGATCCAACAGAGCAGAGAGTGAGAGTGAGTGAAGGCGTGGGGGGGGGGCGAGAGAGGGTTTTGGCAACCCCTGTGAAATGGCCGTTTGACCCCCAAAGGGGGGGGTATCTATCATTTCTATTTATTATTTATACCTACCTACGTACCTACCCTGTTTCCCCCAAAATAAGACATCCCCTGATAATAAGCCCAATCAGGCTTTTGAGCCAATGACAATAAGGCCAAGTGCTTATTTCAGGGTTCAATAAAATATAAGACAGGATCTTATTTTCGGGAAAACATGGTATCTATCTATCTATCTATCTATCTATCTATCTATCTATCTATCTATCTATAAAAGAAAAAGCAGACATTCTGCGAACTCCGGAACTTTAAGAATTTAAAATTTTAAAAGAATTACAATTTTATTTTACTAAGCTTTCGTCAGCCATCTGCTGACATCGTCAGAGTATTAAACTACCATTACAGAGATCTCTGCCTTTATCTATCTATCTATCTATCTATCTATCTATCTATCTATCTATCTATCTATCTATCACACTCTATCTATCCAAACAAAACCTTTCCTCCTCCTCCTCCTCCTCCTCTCTGCTAACCTCATTCCTATTTATCACTGACAATGTTACCTAGCTAGGTCAACCAATCCTGAAGAACAACAATACTCTTCTATCAACATCATGTTTCTTATGTAATGAAAAACATTATTTTAAATAAAAGACATTGCAACTGGAATTAATGAGGGTTTTTCTCTTGATAAGATCAGCCACCTGAGTTCATGATTGAGGTACAGCTGGGCTGAAAATAATGTTTCACAATGCTTCAAGGTTTTTTTGAGTGTGTTTTCAAAATCATACACACCAACGTTGGGATTAACGATGGTTTTCTATTCTGCCAGAGGCACCTTCAAACATACCTGCCCCTGATATCCTTGAAGTTCTTGAAGATGGCGTACAGCTGGCCTGGGAAGCGATGGAACTCAACAAGCCAGTGACTTACACTGTTCTATGCAAGAAGGATGGTAAGCAGCTTCTCTTTCACAGGTAGTCCTCAACTTACAACCACAATGGAGCCCAAACTTTCTGTTGTTCAACAGGACAGTTGTTAAGTGAATTTTGCCCCATTTCATGCCCTTCCTTGCTTTTCTTTCACCGCTGCAAAGGTTGTAATTTCATTTTATTAAATTTCATTTATTAAATTTGTATACCACCCTACTCCCGAAGGACTCAAGGCGGTGAAGAGGCACAAAATAAAACACATAAATACAAAAGTTAAAACATGATTAAAACCCAATTAAATAATTTTTGCCCGAGACAATTTAAAACTCCCAATAATTTAAAACGAATTAAAATTTCAATTTAAAAATTTAAAAGAAGGGGAGAAAATTAGGCCAGGCCGGCCTGCTAGAATAGGAGTGTCTTCAAAGCACGGCGGAAAGTGCGCAGATCCAGGATCCTCCGTATCTCCGGGGGGAGCTCGTTCCAGATAGTAGGTGACCCTACAGATAAGGCCCTCCCCCTAGGGGCCACCAGTCGACATTGTTTGGCTGACGGCACCTGGAGGAGCCCCTCTCTTTGAGAGCGTACCAGCCGGTGGGAGGCTGTTTGTGGTAGTAGGCGGTCCCATAAGTAGCCAGGTCCTAAGCCATGGAGCGCTTTAAAGGTGGTAACCAGAACCTTGAAGCGCACCCGGAAGACCACTGGGAGCCAGTGCAGCTCGCGCAGGAGAGGTGTCACACGGGAGCGCCATGTTGCTCCCATAACCACCCGCGTGGCCGCACTCTGCGCCAATTGGAGCCTCTGGGTGCTCCTCAAGGGGAGCCCCATGTAGAGAGCGTTACAATAGTCCAGGCGGGAGGTGACAAGGGCATGAGTGACTGTGTGTAGGGAGTCCCAATCCAGAAAGGGACGCAACTGGCGAATCAGGCGAACCTGATGAAAGATCCTCCCGGTCACGGCAGTCAAGTGCTCTTCTAAAGACAGCCGTGAGTCCAGGAGGACGCCCAAGTTGCGAGCCCTCTCCGTGGGGGCCAGCGATTCACCCCCAATAGTCAGCGATGGCGTCAACTGACTATATCGGGACGTCAGAAACCACAGCCACTCGGTCTTGGATGGGTTGAGCTTGAGCCTGTTTCTCCCCATCCACATCCGCACGGCCTCCAGACACCGAGACATCACTTCAAGGGCACATTGGGGTGGTCCGGGGTGGAGATGTACAGCTGGGTGTCATCAGCGTACTGGTGGTACTTCACCCCGAAATCACGGATGATCTCGCCCAGCGGCTTTACATAAATGTTGAACAAAAGGGGCGAGAGGACCGACCCTTGTGGCACCCCACATATGAGGGGCCTCAGGGTCGACCTCTGCCCCCCTGCCAACACAGACTGCGACCGGCCGGAGAGAAAGGAGGAGAACCACCGTAATACGGTGCCTCCCACCCCTAACTCTTCCAACTGGTGCAGCATGATACCATGGTCGATGGTATCAAAAGCCGCTGAGAGGTCTAACAGGACCAGGACAGAGGAGTACCCCCTGTCCCGAGCCCTCCAGAGATCATCAACCAACGCGACCAATGCCGTTTCCGTGCTGTACCCGGGTCTGAAACCCAACTGGAACGGATCCAGATACGTCATCTCATCCAGGTGCTGGGGAAGCTGTTGCGCAACCACACTCTTGACAACCTTTGCCACAAAACGAAGGTTGGAGACCGGACGATAATTAACCAACATTGCCGGGTCCAGGGAAGGCTTCTTGAGGAGAGGCCTCACCACCGCCTCTTTCAAGGCGGCGGGGAAGTCACCCTCACCCAATGAATTTATAATCCCCTGGAGCCAGCCTCGCGTCACCTCCCAGGAAGCCAGCACTAAACCAGGAGGGACACGGGTCCAATAAACAAGTGGTCACGTTCAGTCTGCCCAGAATCCTGTCCACGTCCTCAGGGGTCACAGGATCAAACTCATCCCAGATAACATTCTCAAGACCTGCCCCAGTCCCTCCTCCTGAGACTACCCAGTTGGAGTCCAGATCTTCCCAGATCTGAGTGGTTTTGTCATACAGATACTGAACAAAATCCTTGGCTCTACCCTCCAAGGGGTCCTCCCGTGCTTCCTGGTGGAGCAGGGAGCGGGTCACCCTAAACAGGGCGGCCGGGCGGTTATCTGATGACGCAATAAGAGCAGCAAAATAGCTACATTTCGCTGCTTTTATTGCCACTAGGTAATTCCTAATATGGGATCTTACCAGTGTCCGGTCTGATTCAGAAAGACTGGCCCTCCAACTACTCTCTAGGCGTCTTTTCCGGCGCTTCAACTCCCTCAGCTCCTCAGTGAACCAAGGAGCCAAATGAGATCGGCGCCAGGTCAGAGGCCGCAAAGGCACGACCCGATCCAGAGCTCCAGTGGCCGCCCTATCCCAGGAGGCCACTAGGTCTCCAGTTGAGGCGTGTGCCAGAGCCTCAGGGAATGGCCCAAGCTCCATCTGGAACCTATCCGGTTCCATCAGGCCGGTTCCGCCTCCCTGCGGCGGGGTGCAGCGGTTTGAAGGTCGAGACGAAGGAGAGAGTGATCTGACCATGACAAGGGCTCAGTAACTATATCCCCTATCTCAAGATCACTCAGCCACTGAAAACCAGTCATAAGTAGTTTTTTTCAGTGCCATTGTAACTTTCAGTGGTCACTAAATGGTTGTAAGTTGAGGACTACGGTACCTGTATCGCCTACATGTTTAAGGGGGGCAGAACAATGGAGGGTGATTGGCCCAAAGTCACCCAGCTGGCTTTCTTGCCTAAGATGGACTCACCATCTTTCTTTTTTATTAATTTAATGTTAAATATTAATCCTTCTGTTTTTTTGCCAAGATGGGGAGTGGAAAACCCTGGCCAGTGACATCCCGGATTGCTGTTACACAGTTGAACATCTTCCTCGGGGTTTGGTCTACTCCTTTCGTATTGCTTGTGTGAGCCCAGCCGGCGTGGGTCCATACAGCTACCCAACTCCCAAAGTGAAAATTGGTGAAGAAGATCAAGCAGGTATTCATTTTCTCAATAGGAGAGAATATTTGTAGCTCAGGGATGAAATGAGGGGCCCTTCATGCTGTCCGAGTTTGGTGGTTTTCTTGCAGACGTTTCATTACCCAACTAGATAATCTAATTAGTGTTAGGGAGTGTGGGCTTTACTCCCCTTATAGATTGAGTTGTTTATCCTGGCACTGTTGCTGGGAGTATGTTTTTTCCCTCCTAGGTAATTCCTTGGTTAGGGTATTGTTTGCTGCTTGATTGTTTGTCTGGTGTTAATCCATGCTTATCTGGGTTCCTCTTTCTGTGTTATACTTGCTGCTCTCTGAGTTTGGGGGTTCAACTCATTACCAAACTAGAAAACATCATCAGTGAATGAATGGAACATCTGAAAGCCAACAACCAAATTCTGAGAGCACCAACTCTTCTCCTCCTTCTCCTCCCAAGAATCCCCACCTCCCTTTTAGCATTAAGATTTTACCTAATTGGGTCATGAAAACAGCCAAACTCAGAGAGCAACAAAGAGCCCACAGTCCTCCTCCTCCTAAACCTCCTCCTCCCTTTCATCCTCCTAATCCTCCTCCTCCTCCTGCTGTCTACAAACCCCACTCCCTTCTAGCATGGATAATGTTCCCTAGCTGGGTCATGAAATGTCTGCAGGAAAACAACCAAACTCAGATTCATATTCTCCAAAGTGAAATTTAACACTGACTTCTTTTTTTAAAAAAATTATTTATTACACATTTATTGTTACATTTATATGCCACTACTCTTAGCGATAAGACTGACTTGCAACTGAATTCACCAAGGAGAATTTATTGCCACACAACCAACCATTTTGTTTCTTGATCTGGATCAAAGTTAGATGTTTCCTCAAGCCCCACAAAAACTGGAGTTCTTAGAGGAAATTAATAGCAATAGCAATAGCACTTAGACTTACATACCACTTTATAGTACTTTACAGCCTTCTCTAAAGGTTTACAGAGTCAGCCCCAACAATTGGGGTCCTCATTTTACCCACCTCAAAAGGATGGAAGGCTGAGTTAACCTTGAGCCTGGTGAGATTTGAACTGCCGAACTGCAGCTAGCAGTCAGCTGAAGTAGCCTGCAGTGCTGTACTCTAACCACTGCACCACCTCGGCTCTACAGGTTAACTACAGGTATTCCTCGACTTACAACCACAATTGAGCCCAAAATTTCTGTTGCTAAGTGAAACATTTGTTAAGTGAATTTTTCCCCAGTTTACGATCTTTCTTGCCACAGTTGCTAAGTGGATCAGTGCAGTTCTTAAGTTAGTCACATGGTTTTTAAGGGAATCTGGCTTCCCCATTGCTTGTCAGAAGGTTGCAGAAGTTAATCAGGTGATCCCGGGACACTGCAATTGTCATAAATATGAGTCAGCTGTCGAGGATCTGAATTTTGATCATCATGGGCATGCTGCAAAGGTCATAAGTGTGAAAAGCGGCCTTAGATCCCTGTTTTTAGGGCCATTGTAACTTCGAACAGTCCCTTAACGAATGGACTACCTGTATAATCCAAACCCACAACAAGCAATGTAACAAGCAATTAGGGTTAAGAATAATAATTGTAATAAAATCAGGATGATTGTGAGTGATGCAGATTCTGGGCTGCCCGGCCCAGAGTCCTGGGATCCCTCCCTCCCTCCCTCCTGGGAAACTAAGTTTAGCATCAGAAGGTTGGCGTTATGTTAAGAGCCCTTTATCTACTGTGTGTGATAACCATGTTTTAATTTAGAATTTGTCCTTTCTTCCTGTCCTCTTTCAGCATTTCAAGCTCAGGAAGAAGAGAATAGGATGGCAGCTCCGCCAACGCACCAGACCTACGCCTTCCAGACCGAGATTAAAAGGTACGCATATCCAGGTGGTCCTCAATTTATGACCACAATTGAGCCCAAAATTTCTGCTGCTAAGTGAGACCTTTGTTAAAGGGAGCTGTGCCCCATTTTACGATCTTTCTTGCCAAAATTTTTAAGTTGAATCACTGCGGTTGTTAAGTTAGTCATATGGTTGCTAAGTGAATCTGGCTTCTCCATCGACTTTGCTTGTCAGAAGTTCACAAAGGGTGATCACCTGACACTGGGATTGTCATAAATATGAGTCAGATGCCAAGCATCTGAATTTTGATCACGTGACCATAGAGGTGGCAACAGTCGTAAATGTAAAAAATGGTCATGTCACCTTTTTCAGTTCCGTTTTAACATTGAACGGTCACTAAACAAACTGTTGTAAATCAAGGACTACCTGTACACCATCTTTCTTTCTTTCTTTCTTTCTTCCTTTCTTCCTTCCTTTCTTTCTTCCTTTCTTCCTTCCTTCCTTCCACTTTTTTCTTCCTTCCTCCCTCCCTCCCTCCACTTTTCCTTCCTTCCTCCCTTCCTTTCCCTCATTCCACTTTTTCCTTCTTTCCTTCTTCCTTTCCTTCCTTCCTCCTTCCACTTTTTCCTTCCTTCCTCCCTCCCTTCCTTCCTCCCTCCCTCTCCCTCCTTCCACTTTTCTTTCCTTCTTTCCTTTCTTCCTTCCCTCCCTCCCTTTTTTCCTTCCTCCCTCTTTCCACTTTTTCCTTCCTCCCTCCCTCTCCCTCCTTCCACCCTTCCTTCCTTCCCATCACTTTTTTCTTCCTTCCTTCCGTCCTTCCTACTTTCCTTCCTTCCCTTCCTTCCCTTCCATCCTTCCTCCCTCCACTTTTTCCTTCGTTCCTTCCTTCCTCCCTCCTCTCCCTCCTCTCCCTCCTTCCACTCTTTCTTTCTTTCTTTCTTTCTTTCTTTCTTTCTTTCTTTCTTTCTTTCTTTCTTTCTCTTTCCTTCCTCCCTCTCTCTCTCTCTCTCTCTCTCTCTCTTTCTTAAATTTATATGGCTGCCCACTCACTCTCAGTGACTCTGGGTGGCTGGCCAACAACAAACCTTTCTGAAATGTCCCTTTAAGATCCTGAGTGCACCTCTCCTTGGATATGTTGCAGCAATAATTTGATATAATGGAGGCATCCACGCCTCCTCTTTTCAAGGCCTGGCCTTTGGTCGATCAATCTGGTTGGCTAGCGTTGTTCCCGAAGAATAAACAGAGAATGAAACTCTGGGGACTCTGATGGCCTTAATTTGGATCATCCTGTTTGTTTGCAAATGAAACAAATGATGGAACACTTTTTTTTAAAAAAAAACACCCTGTTTTTCCATCCTGTGAACTCCTCAAGCTTAAGAGGAAGAGAGCTGGCTTGGCTGAAAAGGAAACAGTTTGCAGAGGAGAAAGGGATAATTTTTTTTAAAAGGGAATTGTAAATTGATCCTATTAGCAGCATTTTTAAAGGGAGGGGTAAAGAGAGAGGGGGGGGGTGAAAGATAGAGAGCTGGGGAGAGAGAGATGATAGATGATAGATAGATAGATATACAGACAGAGACAGAAGATAAAGAGATGAGAGAAAGATAGAAATACAGATGATAGATTGATAGATATTGATATAGATATAGGCCACGCAACAAATGAATCAGGAAGGGTTTCAAAAGAAAATGGCAACCAATTCAAACCTTTAATGCCGTTTCTAGGATAATTCATAGGGACACCCTGAGTCCTAGCTCTCTCTCTCTCTCTCTCTCTCTCTCTCTCTCTCTGTGTGTGTTTGTGTTTGTGTGTGCCTAAGCCCAAAGTAAGAAAGTGATTTTCCAAAACACAGAAAGGAGACGCAGCATTTGTATGTTGGCAGAAGCCCAGTGGCCACAGATAACATGGCAAAGAGTAATGCAATAAAATAGAAAGTTTCTAAACTTTTTCCAGGGAGTGTGCATTCCAGCTGGAAGTACTTTTAATAACAGCTGCGCATCTGGGCTGGGCTGGAAGTGAACACCCAGAAATAAAATTCCAAAATTCTGCACAACAAATGAATCACCTTTTATACAAGAGAAAGGCGAGAGAAAGATGGAAAGTAAAGAATCAGATCAGTCCTGAAGCTTCAGTTATTGGCAGACAGTCCTCGATTTACAGCAATTTGTTTAGTGACCATTCTAAATTGCAACAGCACTGAAAAAGGAGACTTATGTTTTTTACCCTTATGACCATTGCAGCATCCCCATAGTCACGTGATCAAAATTCAGATGCTTGGCAACTGGCATGTACTTATGACGGTTGCAGTGTCCCGGGGTCATGTGATCCCCTTTTGCGACCTTCTGACAAGCAAAGTCAATGGGGGAAACCAGATTCGCTTAACAACCATGAAACTGCAGTGATTCGTTTAACCATGTTGGCAAGAAAGGTGGTAAAAGGGAGCAAAACTCACTTAACAACTGTGATTGAGCAATAGAAAGTTTGGGCTTAATTGTAGTCGTAAGACGAGGTCTCCAAGTCCCTGACAAGCAACATTCTTTGACTGACAGCATTTGTTACCATGGTCAACTTGCCAGATCCAATTCAACAGGTAGAGACTTTTGGAAAATGGCTGTCCCACAGGTAATCTGATCCCAAACCATGTTAGGTGACAATCAGTAACCTTGATTTGCACCTAGAAAGATTTCAATGGCCAAATTTGTTCACACAATACAGATAGTCCTTGACTTATGACCACAATTGAGTCCAAAATTTATGTTCCTAAGCAAGAGGTTTGTTAAGTGAATTTTGCTTTATTTTACAACCTTTCCTGCCAGAGTTGTGAAGTAAATAACCATAGTTAAGACAGTCACACTGTTGTTAAGCAAACCTTATGTCTTCCCCCATTGACTTTGTTTGTCACAAGGTCGCAGAAGGGGATTGCGTGACTGTGGGACACTGCGACCGTCATAAATATGAGACAGTTGCCAAGGATATGAATTTTGATCACGTAACCAGGGGGATGCTGAATAGAATAGAATAGAATAGAATAGAATAGAATAGAATAGAATAGAATTTTTTATTGGCCAAGTGTGATTGGACACACAAGGAATTTGTCTTGGTGCATATGCTCTCAGTGTACATAAAAGAAAAGATACATTCGTCAAGAATCATAAGGTACAACACTTGATGATAGTCATAGGGAAACAGTCAATATAAATCTTAAGGATACCAGCAACAAGGTTACAGTCATACAGTCATAAGTGGGAGGAGATGGGTGATGGGAACGATGAGAAGATTAATAGCAGTGCAGACTTAGTAAATAGTTTGACAGTGTTGAGGGAATTATTTGTTTAGCAAAGTGATGGCTTTTGGGAAAAAACTGTCCTTGTGTCTTGTTGTTTTGGTGGGCAGTGCTCTACAGCGTCGTTTTGAGATGTCGTTAAGTTTGAAAAATGGTCATAAGTCACTTTTTTAAGTGCCATTAAACTGGTCTCTAAATGAATGGTTATAAGTCAAAGACTCCCTGTAGTAGTGTTATATTTGGCACCATTTTCTGCATGTGCCAATCCCAATTTAATCCCAAAATTTTTAGGTTTTTAGGTATGAAAGACCTCATAGAATCATAGGGTTGGAAGAGACCTTGGAGGTCATCTAGTCCAACCCCCTGCCTGAGCAGGAGATCCTGGTCAAAAGGTTGTCTGGACTCTTTTTGAAAACCTCCAGTGATGTTGGGTTCTCTTTTTTTTCAGGGGCCGTTTCAGCATCATCAAACAATGCCGAGAAAAATTCAGCGGAAATCCGTTGGCTGCCAAAATCATCCCGTATCAGCCAGAAGAGAAAGACGCCATCCTACAGGAATATCAGATCCTAAGGAAACTGCACCACACCAATGTAGGGCAGCTGCAGGGTGCCTATGTGAGCCCACGCCACCTTGTGCTGATTGTCGAACTCTGTGTGGGACCCGAATTGCTTCATGCCTTAGCTGGAAGGTAAATAGATATATTTTTTCCTATTTGACCAACCTACAGCTAGTCTTCAATTTACGAAAATTCATTTAAAAACCCTTTGAAGTTATGACGGTGCTTAAAAAAAAAAACTTTGGACGGTCCTTGCAATTATGACCATTGCAACATTCCTGATCAAAATTAGAATGCTTGGCAATCGGTGTGTAATTACAACAATTGCAGCATCATCATTTGTGACCTTCACAGTTGGCTTGAACCAGCAAAGTTAATGGGGGAAGCTGGATTCATTTAACGACTATGTGATTCACTTAACAACCATGGTTAAAAAGGGTTGTTATGACCACAATAGGGACCAGGATTTGTCACTTTGCTTAACAAAAGAGAAATTGTGGTCATAAATTGAGGACCACCTGTACCCTGATGACCCTACATATTATAGTTCTGGATAATTTTAAAAACAGTCCTTTGCCTGTAGAATTCAATTTGCATCCATCCCATCCAGCAATACAGGCAGTCCTTGATTTATAACTGTTTGCTCAGCGACCCTCCAAAGTTACAACGGCACTGAAAAAAATGACCATTTTCCACACTTACAACCGTTGCAGCCTCCCCATGGTCGTGTGATCAAAATTTGGGTGCTTGATAATTGGCATGTATTTTTGACGGTCGCCGTGTCCCAGGGTCACATCATCCCCTTTAACGACCTTCTGACAATCAAAGTCAGTGGGGAAGCCAGATTCGCTTAACAACCCAAGAAAGGTTGTAAAACGGGATCAAACTCACTTAATGGCTGTCTCACTTAGCAATGGAAATTTTGGGCTCAGTTGTGGCTAATTCTGATTCTGACTGCCTCCATCTGGTCATATCCATTGAGGCTGATTTTGGGGGAATCTCTGACCCTGTTTGTGTTTTTAACCATCTTCTCTTTCCCAGGCCTTCGTATTCAGAGGTGCAGGTCAGGGATTACCTGTGGCAGATTCTCAGCGCTGTCGAGTACCTTCACAAACAAGACATCATGCATCTGGATCTGCGGTCTGAAAACATGGTGATTGTTGAGCCCAACCTGTTGAAACTCCTGGACTTTGGCAACGCCCGGTTCTACACGCCCGACCAAATCATAACCGTGGATGGATGCACGGATTATGTAGAAACCATGGGTGAGTGAGCAAGCAAATCTGAGCATTTTGCACCACGAACAGAGGGATATTTATTTATTTATTTTGTCGCATTTCTATGCCGCCCAACTCCCAAGGGACTCTGGGCGGCTTACAACAAAGAATAAAACAATGTGAACAATCCCATAAAAAATGTTAAAAAGAAAAACATTAAAACATTAAAAACTTTTAAAACGTTAAAACACATGCACTCCAATTCGTGGCCGGGTCTCGCAAGATCATTATAACGAGATCAACGGCCCCAGGCCTGCCGGAAGAGCCAGGTCTTCACCGCTTTTCGGAAGGCCAATAGGGTGGGGATGGTCCGGACCTCAGGAGGTAACTGGTTCCAGAGAGCCGGGGCAGCCACAGAGAAGGCCCTCCCCCGTGGGCCTGCCAGCCGACATTGTTTAGCTGACGGGACCCGGAGGAGACCAACTCTGTGGGATCTTATCGGTCGCTGGGAGCTATGTGGTAGAAGGCGGTCTCGAAGATAGAAGATAAAGGAGAATCAGATATTCTTCAATTCCACTTGTTCAGAGTCAGCTAGAACTTTTCTTTTTTTTTTATTGAAAAGTTTTTTTAAAAAATTTCACATATTTTCCCTTCCCTCCTCCCCCCTCCTACCTCAACCCTCCCCCCTCCTCCGGACTTCCCAGAGCAAATACAGGATATAGCATTTAACAAACATATAAAAAAAAACCATAAGATAACTATAGATTTATCTCTCTTTTACACTTTAACTCCCCTTATTTATATCTGAATATAACTATTTAAACCAATTATTGCTTGAAAATAATCAATCCAACTTTGTTCTTGTTGGTTCTTCAATAATAAGCAAGTCTTCTTTCTTCCAGCATTGCTCAATCAAAGCCCAATTACAATTAACCATCACATCTCCAACCCCTACATATATTAACACATTAACAAATTATTTTAACCAATCTCAAATAGATTATATTGTAAAAACCTTATTTTTACTTTTTACCCCATATTGATTCTTCCTGGAAACATTTTTTTTTTTTTATTGCAAAAGTTTTACAATTACATTTTCACCCCTTTTTTCACCCCCCCACCTCCCTCCCCAAACTTCCCGTCCTCCCTAACCCTCCCTAACCCTCCCCCCCCCAGACTTCCCTATTATGTACTCATAACTAATAACACTGATATATATACCTGAACCCATCCCTCCCCCTACATAATTTTCCCTCTTTGTCTCTTTATATTAAAATATTTCTAATACATTGTTTTCAAATAAAAGCTATTTGATACTTTCTAATTTGGTATTTGTTCTGAACATATTCTATCCACCTTTTCCATTCCCATTCATAAGTCTCTTGTGAACAATCTTTTAAATATGCTGAAATCTTCGCCATCTCTGCAAAACTGGCCATCTTCGAAGTCCATTCCTCGATAGTAGGCAAAGCTTCATTCTTCCAATATTTACCTATCAACAATCTTGCTGCTGTTATCATATACAATATTAATTTTGTTTCATCCCGTGTAAAACCCTTAACTATGCCCAATAAAAACAATTGTGGAGAAAATTGAATTTTTTTCTTCAAAACATTCTGCATGACCCACCATATTTTTATCCAAAAAGCCTTAACTTTCCTACAGGTCCACCAAACATGATAATACGTAGCATCCAAACATTCACATCTCCAACATTTTGGCTGAACATTAGGGTACATACATGACAACTTTTTAGGATCTAAATGCCATCTATAAAACATTTTATAAAAATTTTCCCTCAGATTCTGCGACTGTGTAAATTTAACATTCTGAACCCAAATTTTTTCCCATGTTTCCAACATCACTGGTTCTTCAAAATTTTGTGCCCACTTAATCATGCAATCTTTAACTAATTCCGTTTCTGAATCCCTTTCTAGCAAAACATTATAAAGCCTTTTAATATGCATTGGACCTTTCTCTCTTATATGTCTAACCAATTCTTCCTCATGCAACATAATACCAGTTTTTTGGTCCTCTTTCCATCTCAATTGTAATTGATTATATTGTAACCAGGTTAAATTAATCCCTTCATCCAACAGTGTCTGCAATGTCTTCAGCTGCCATCTGCCCGCATCTGTAAAAAGAACCTCTTTGTATAAAAACCCCCCCGAGTGACATTATATTTGTATTCCACAAGGTATGACCAAGATCCAGCCATAGCGGTATTTTATAATCCCATTTGAGTCGGTGCTTCTTCCAAACTCTCATCAAAGAGTCTCTAAGTATATGACTTTTAAATACTTTATCAACTTTGTCATCATAAAATAGGTAAGCATGCCATCCAAATTCAAGATCAAAACTTTCTGCATTCAATATTCCAGCCTTTTTACCCCCAAACCAATCACTTGTTAAAGTTAAAGCTGCTGCATCATAATATAACTGTAGGTTTGGAAGTTTAAGGCCTCCTCTTTCTGGAACATCTTGCATAATTTTCAATTTCACTCTCGGCTTTTTCTCGTTCCAGACGAACTTATTAAGTCCAGTTTGCCAAACTTTCAGTTGTTTATCACTTTTAAGCACCGGAATCATTTGAAACAAAAACAGAAATCTTGGCAAAATGTTCATCTTAACTGCTGCTATTCTTCCAAGTAAAGACAGTTGCAGCTTTTTCCAAGTCTCCATGTCTTTCTGAACCTCTCGCCACAACACCTCATAGTTATTTTGAAACAATTTCATGTTTGATTCTGCAACCTGAACTCCAAGATATTTTACCTTAGGTACAATTTCAAAACCTGCCCTCCTTTCAAGCTCATGTTTACGATCTTGTGTCATATTTTTGACTATCATTTTAGTCTTTTTTGAATTCAGTCTAAAACCTGAAACTCTACCATAGTCTTGTATAATGTCATTCATCAGGATTGTTGATTCCATTGGTTGTGATAGGGTAACCACCAGATCATCTGCAAATGCCTTTATTCTATAATCCTCTTGCCTTATCATTATGCCTTTCAAAATTTTTGAGTCCCGTATTGTATTTAGCAAGACTTCCAATGTTAAAATAAATAAAAGTGGGGACAACGGACATCCCTGTCTTGTTCCTTTTTCAATTTTAAACTCTGTCGTCAAACTTCCATTAATAATAATCTGTGCTTTTTGCTCTTGATAAATTGCTGAAATCGCCTGTGTAAATTGGTCCCCAAAGCCCATCTTTTTTAAAGTCTTTAGTAGAAAATTCCAATCCACTCTATCAAAGGCCTTCTCCGCATCCAAAAAGACCAGCACTGCAGAAATCTGTTTATTCTTATCAAGATATTCCAATAAGTCTATTACTTGCCTTACATTGTCCTTCATGTATCTGCCCTCAATAAATCCCGCTTGGTCCTCATGAATCACCTTTTGGATTACTGGCATCAACCTGTTGGCTAATACCTTCGCATAAATTTTATAGTCTGTGTTCAAAAGAGATATTGGTCTGTAGTTCTCTGGTTTTTTAGGACCAACTTGTTCCTTTGGTATCAAAGATATATAAGCAGTTGTCCAGGATGGGGGTATTTTACCCCCTTGTTGAATATTGCAAAATAAATCTCTAAGTTGTCCCACCATTTCAGCTTGTAAAGTTTTGTAATACACTGCAGTCAAACCATCCGTGCCAGGAGCTTTAGCTGTTTTTAGCTGTTTAATTGCTGCTATTATCTCCTCCTCTGTTATAAGATAATTCATTCTTTCCTTTTGTTGATCAGTAATTTTTGTAACTCTCTTATCCTTTAAATATTTTTCTATAAGTCCATTCTGCACCTCTTCTTTAGCATATAGTTTAGTATAATAATCCACAAAAGCTTCTTTAATTAATTTTTGTTGAAAAATTTCTTTCCCTCCAATATCGATACTGTCAATAGTCCGCATACTTTGTTTTTTCCTCAATGTGTAGGCCAACCATCTGCCCGGTTTATTAGCATTGCAAAATGTATTATGCTTCGCGTATTGTAAACTTGTTGCAACTTGTTCCACCATAAGCATTTGGAATTGGTCTTTCAAAAGTTTTATAGCACTTCGTATTCTTTCATCTGTTGGGTTTTTAATAAGTAACTGTTCTTTATTCTTTATTTCCATTTCCAACTCAGATCTTTTCTTTTGTCGGAACAGTCTATGTTTAGAATTCATGTAGATAAGTACCCCTCTCATATAAGCTTTACTTGCATCCCAAACAATTTCAACTGGGGTACCTTTATTCAAATTTATTTCAAAAAATTCTTTCAAATGCTTTTTAAGTTCTATTATATTTTTTTCATATCTAAACAAGTTCTCATTTAATCTCCAAGAACGTCTCTCAACCTTATCCATCTCGATTTCTATCCATACAGGACTATGATCAGTCAAAGTTCTTGGAAAAATCTTTGTTCTTTTTGTCTTAACAAGTAGATCATTTGACAACAAGATAAAATCAATCCTAGAAAAGGATCTATGTCTATCAGAAAAAAAAGTGTAATCCAATTCATTTGGATTATGTATTCTCCAAACATCTTTTAGTTCCATATCTTCTTTCATATCAAAAAAGGTCTGTGGTAATCTAATTCTAGACTTTGCCAAGCTCTTTTTATCTAATTTAGAATCAATTACTCCATTCCAATCTCCCATAATTAAAATAGATCTGTAGTCCCATTGCAATATTTTAGTATGTAACATCTTGTAAAAATAATCCTGTTGTTGGTTGGGAGCATAAATTCCAATCAAAAGAATTTGACCATTTGCTGTAAACAATTCAATTGCTACAAATCTACCATCTTGATCTACTTCTATAACTTTTGCTGTTAATTTTTTATTTACATAAATAACCACACCATTCTTTTTCTGCGAAGTTGAAGATATATAATGTGCTCCTAGTTTTGAGTTTATCAAATATTTTTGATCTTGAGTTGTAATATGCGTTTCTTGTAAACATATTATATCATTATTAAATTGTTTCAAATATGTAAATAATTTTTTCCTTTTCTGTGCTGAATTCAACCCATTGACATTCCAAGATAAACACTTAAAGGTCATTAGCCTCTTTCTGGAGCGCAGAGCAATATGCTTGAAGTTCATCCGAGAGCTTCGATCTCGCTCCTCCCATAGCGCCAATCTCTTGTGCAGTGCTCTTAACTGCCTTCTTGTCTTGTCTTTCCTGTTGTTGTTGTTGCTTCTGTTTAAGTAGCTTGGATTGAGCTCTAGTTATACGTTGATCTTTAACTTCAGTCAACTGAATCAAATCCAAAATTGGAGAAGAATCCAGCGATGGCTCACTCAGAATACCTCCTTCTGCACCTTGCACGTTTTCTAATTCCTGCTTAGACTGTTCTTTCAATTGCCTCTCTTCACTCTCCTTAATCTCCAGAACTGTAGATGTACGTGGAGATGGTGTTCTTTCCTTAAGAATAGTACTGTAAAAGTGTTGCGCCTTCTCCACGGTATTCAACCGATATCCTTCTCCCTTATATCTGAAAATTACCCCAGCTGGTGCATCCCACCGGAAGGGTATCTGTAAATTTTTCAATTCCTTAACAAGAAAACCAAATTCTTTTCTAGCTTTCAGCATTTTAGGAGGTAATTCTTTAAAAATTACAAGCCGTGAGCCCCCCACTTGTATAGAAGTGTGAAAAGATTTTTGCAGGATATCATTTCTAATTTCTCTCTCAGTAAAGTATATGACCACATCTCTGGGTAGTTGTCTTTGCCTGGCCACCCAAGAGTTCACTCTGTAAATTTTATCTATTTTATGAAATACCAAATCAGGATTAACTTGTAAAATCTTAGCCAGGGCTTCAGAGCAAACTTGTCTCAAGTCCTGTCTTTCCTCCTCTCGAATTCCCCGAAGCCGTATGGCAAATTCCATCGCCCGGAATTGTATCATAACAATCTCATCTTCAATTCTCTGCATTTTATTGTCAACTTCATCAATTTTATAATCATTGTCTTTCATCCTAACATTAACTTCTGATTTAAATTCTTCAACTTTAAAATCAACTTTCCCAATAAAATCTGCCAGGCCAGACGCCACTTCTGATATTTTTTTGGTCACCATAATTTGATTCTGTTTCACCATGTCTTTAACTTCATTAATTTCCTGCAAAAATTCCTGATGTGATTTTTGAAGTTCCTGTTGTGATTCTTGAAATTTATCATCCAAAGTTTTAGAAATAAATTCTTTTAAATCTGCCACATCAAATTCTTTTTTCTGAGTTTGTAACTGTTGAGCAGGGGGAAGTTGCGTTTGATGTTTATGTGTGGGGGATCCCCCCCCTGATGCCTTCCCTTCCTGCTTCTTTGAAGCCATCGTGCCACGTAAGCTAGTTTTTTTGAAGAGGGAAGTTCTTTTTCCTTTCCCTCTTCCACAGAAACTTCTAAAAAAGTCCCCCAGATTTAATCAGGTGGAACTAGAATAAAGCAAAGTCAAATTTTAGCAAAAGAAATTTTTTCTTTAGATAGAGCAACTTTGTAGCAATTTTACAACTTTGTAGCAAAGCAGGGAGGCTTCACAAATCCACTTTCACTAGCTCGTTAACTCAAACGCTGGACGCCATATTTTTTCAAATCACTTTCACTCGCTCACTTTCTCTTTTGATTTAAAAAGTCAACAAAGGGGCTCAACCTGTACCCTGCTGTCTCTGCTCCTGCAATCTTCAAGATTTCGGAGTTTTCGAGCCGCACCTCGTTCGCGGGGCAGCTCTACAGGCGGCGGGGCTGGCGGTCTTTAAAAAGTCACCGCCGTCGCCGAAGCTCACCTTCCTGGAAACATTTTTAAAAAAACATTCCTTACTTAATAGCTTTACATAAACTTATTCATCTTATTCTCTACAAATCCACTGCATATAATCAAATAACCTCATAACTATTTGATATCTATAAAAAATATTGTAAAAACCTTCCCTCAACCCTTGCACCACTTATATTTTCCTTATAACCCACAAGTTTATATTTATTCTTCAACAAAACATTCTTTAAATAACTTTAGTGTTAATATACTTCAGGACAAAAGTGAAAATTTGGTCAGTAGCCCATAGCAATTCAAACGTAACATTACTTAATATAACTTTTCAAGACAAATCATGTCCCTAAATATAAGTAAATCATTCATTTTCACTATAACATAACTTTTCAAAACAGATCATATCCCTAAATACAAGTACAGTCATTCATTTTTACTACTACTATCCTCCCCAGGCAAAAAGGTTGTAATTTTTCCATTTCCATTTTTTCATGACTTTTTTGCGAACCTTCTTCTTCAGTCTTATTCCTCCGCCTTCTTTTATTTTTATAAGTTCTTGAGTTTTCAGCTGAAGTTGCTGTACCTTACAATCTTGTTCTCTTCGCAAAGTAATTCCTTTCAGTAAACACACCTCTTTAAACTGTGATTGAGAGTCCATTTTTGTAAAAAAATTGTAAAGTTCCACTTCGAATCCTCCTTCTTATATTAGAAATCCCAACGCCTCCTGGCAATTTTCCAGTTGACTGTATCAAAGCCTCAGGAAAAATCTCTCTCAGTATTTCTTGGCTACACTCCTTCAAACCTCTCAGCCTTTCCTTCTTAATTTGAAAAACATCAATTCCATTTTCCAAAGGCAGATTAAACTGGATTGTTTCTGTTACGAGTAAATGCCTAACTGTGTATACACCATTGCATAGACTGACCCACTGATCCCTCCTCCCTCACTTAGCCCTTCCCATAACCCCTCCTTACCTTGACTCCACCTCCTCCATATATAAGGCTGTGCGCAGAAGTCCAGGACCAGTTCCAAATGAGTACCTGAATAGAAAGAAATGGAGTAAATAAATACATTGAACTCAAAGCCTATCGTGTCTGTGATTATTGGGCAAGATCCTTGGAAAACTTACTTATCAGTTTCTTCCACCTCTTCATTCAATAACTCACTATTATTTGGCAACTGAAATACCGATACAGTATCTTCACTTATAACTTTATTTCGAACTTGAATAAAATCCTTGTTGAAAAACCCTTCCATTCTTTCCAACATGGAGGTAAATGATTCTAAAATTTCTTTAAAGAGATCCACAATCAGTATTTGTGTATTTACTGATGTTTGTAATAGTGAGCCTTCATCACTTTCAAAAAAGCCAGCCATTTTTTCCCCCCCATCCACCTTGAACAATGCTGGGTGTTAACAGCTTTATCAAGAGTTAACTTTCACTTTCACACCCTATTAAGCACAAGCGCCATTTTCTTCACTCCTTTAAGCAGCTTCAAAAAGTAGCAATTTAAGCGTGAAATTAAGGGTTTGTTACTTGCAATTGTCTGCTCTCCTGTCTTCACTCCGTCTGCTTAGATAATCAACTTTGATCTCAGTAAAGATTGCAGAAATGGTCGCAACGTTTTTTTCTGCTTAAAGCAGAAGCGCCCTGGATCTCGGAATTTCACCAGACTTCCTGGGGAGCTCTCACCCTCCAAGCCCCCAAAACTATTTCAGGGGCTTTCGGGGAGCTCTACCCCCATCTGATTGTTCTCCTTTCCCTCTTCTCCCGAGGGAAAGGTTTTCCAGACGCCAGACAGCTGATTTGCGCTATCAAGGCGGCTTTACAAGATCACAGGGCTGGCGCTTTGAGAGAGAGTGTCCAGCAATGTCGGCGGTGCCACCGGAAGTCCAGCCAGAACTTTTCTTGATAAGGAAAGACAGTTGTTAAAAACTAAGATCTCCTGACCTGTAGATCTCCTGCTATCTGGGATCTTCAGTTGAAGGTGGCAAGATTTTAACTTGAAGCTTTTTGCTGCACCTGGCCTGCTCAACTATAGAACAATTCTTTATACATACATACATACATACATATCAGAGGTGGGTTTCAGCAGGTTCTGACTAGTTTTGGAGAACCAGTAGTGGAAATTTTGAGTAGTTCAGACAACCGGTAGTAAAAATTCTGACTGGCCCTGCCCCCATCTATTCTCTGCCTCCCAAGTCCCAGCTGATCGGGAGGGAATGGGGATTTTGCAGTAACCTTCCCCTGCCATGCCCACCAAGCCACGCCCATAGAACCGGTAGTAAAAAAATTTGAAACCCACCACTGATACATATACCATATACAGGGGTGAGTTCTACTTACCTTTACTACCAGTACGCATCGTGCTACTTTGGTAATGAAACATCTGCAAAAAAACTACTGTCAGCGTTCCAGGAAGTCCCCAACTCCAAGTAAAAACTCCGAGGCAGGCATTTCCCAAAGTTCCATTTAATTAGAATAGGTACACTGGCACATCTGGGAAAACCCGAATCTGAGAGTTCCAGGTTTTCCGTCAATAAATCAAAACCCCAAATCCATCCCCTCACTCATCTGTCTGTCACATGGTCCAATCATCATCCGTCCCAACTTGAGCCATCCCTGCAACCATTCCTCCTCTAGATGCATAAAGACCATGGCTTTGACCGAAGGGAAGAATGCTATTATGTCCAACTACATTCACTCTCCTAAATACCCGCTCCTACTTTCCCAGGCGCAAGGAGTTGGCAGTGTGGAAGCTTCTGGTGCTAATATGGCTTCCAAAGCTGACAACTACCAAACTCAAGAGAGCACCAATTAACCCACATTTAGACAGACAGACAGACAGACAAAGGGAGGAAGGGAGGGAGGGAGAGAGAAAAAGAGAGACCATTTATAGATCAGATTTTTGCCGAAAATTTTATTCTGCAAATCTCTCTGAATCTGATGCATCTGGATGTTATGGTGGGACAGTTTCCTAACACACATGTGCATTTTTAGCTTCAGAACTCCTAACGGAGAAGGGAGCCATCCCGCAGACGGACATCTGGGCGATTGGCGTGACAGCTTTCATCATGTAAGTTGACCTCAGCTTCTGTGGACAAAATCACAGAACCTTCAAAGTTGAAGTGACCCTAGAAGTCTTCTGCTCCAGTCTTCCGCAGAGGACAGAATCCCTCATATCATTAGATGGGATGTACAGTAGATGTGGGTATAGAGGGTCAGTTTCGCTTAGTGGTTAAGGCAGCAGGCTAGAAAGCAAGAGAACGTGGGTTTAAGTCCCGTCTTAGCCATGAAAGCCAGCTGGATGACCTTGGGCCAATCACAAGGAAAAGTGTCACGCACACCCCCTTCTCTTGGCCCAAGAGTCTGGTGATCTTGTGGGGATGGTCTTCAAATAGGAATGGGGGACTTGCAGTTCCAGTGCCCCTTCAACCTAAGACCTGCTTGGGATTAATCTCTGCCACTTCCAGGGGTTTCTATAAGGGGGAAAAATAGGACTAGCGAATGCCACACAACATGGCATCTCAGGTGCCTGTGAAAAGCAGGCTACAAATTTATTAATTAAAACAAAGCCGATTCACAATGTTACGCAAAAGTGGGCAGAGGTGGAAGGAACTTGGTTAGCCCATAATTAGCATGCCTCTATTCTTACTAATACGATTTTTGAAATATCCTTATCTGGAGAAATGCAACTTCATGGGCATGACTTTTAATAAAATATTTTCAAAGCCTTCGCTTTCTGAAAGGTGGCAGTGAATGCTGCCCTATTTTATTTTATTTTTATCTTATTTTTTTATTTTACTTTACTTTATTTTATTTCATTTTATGTTTGTATCCCACCTTTGTTATTTTTACAAATAACTCCAGGCAATGAACATGTCCAATACATCTCCCTCCTCCTATTTTCCCCCACAACAACCCTGTGTGGTGGATTGGGCTGAGAGAGAGGGATTGGAAAGTCACCCAGCTGACTTTCATGACAAAGGCAGGACCAGAACTCACCGTCTCCTAGTGATTGGCCCAAAGTCACCCAGACAATTTTCATGGCTAAAGCAGGACTAGAACCAGAGGCGGTATTTTTTTTTTCAGTCATCCAGGTCATGGTTGTCCCACAGATGGTTTTTCACCAAAAGGCTACTGGACTTTCTTGGTTTGGGAAAATGTTTCGCTTCTCCTCCAAGAAGCTTCTTCAGTGAAGATGTGAAGAAACTGAAGAACTGAAGAAGCTTCTTGGAGGAGAAGCGAAACATTTTCCCAAACCAAGAAAGTCCAGTTGCCTTTTGGAAAAATCACCTTTGGGTCAAACTTTGAAGAGTTTCAGAGACCTGGCAGGAAGGCAGAGCTGGACTTCAAAGAAAGAGTTAGGTCTAGAAGGCCAAAGCTAGACCTCTACTAGGCCCCAAAATACTCTACAGGGAGTCCTCAACTTATGAGTACAATTGTCTCCAAAATTTATGTTGCTGAGACATTTGTTAAGTGAGTTTTGACCCATTTTGAGAACTTTTCTTGGCACAGTTGTTAAGTAAATTCTTGCAGTTGTTAAGTTAGTAACAGCGTTGTTAAGTGAATCTGCTTTCCCCATTGATTTTGCTTGTCAAGAGGTCACAAAAGGGGATCACATGACACTTCAACCGTCATAAATATGAGCCAGTTGACAGGTATCCAAATTTTGATCATGTGACCACGGGGATACTGCAGTGGCTGTGTGAAAAATGGTCATAAGTCCCTTTTTTCAGTGCTGTTGTAACTTTGAACGGTCACTAAACAAACTGTTGTAAGTCAAGGACTATCTTATCAACTTAGGCACAAGACTGTCTCCGCTTATCCTTCAAGTGTCCTGACTGCCCCTCTTAAAGCAGCAGCAGATGAAAAGTGTCACTGCGTTTTTGTATTTACCAGATGAGCTCTTATTTTTGAACTCTTAAGACTTACCGTAGCTTGCCAAGTTCTTATCTGTAAGCTAACTGCACATGTCTACATTCTTTCACCACTTTCTTCTTTCTTTCTTTGTTCTCCGGCCAAGAGAGGTCCGGCAGGAACGCTGCCAAGATGTAATTAATTAGCTAGTAAGATGTTTTTACTTCTTTATAATAAAATGTGTTTATTAGAATATATCTCAATTTTATTTTCTTAAAGTATACTTCAAGGAAAGGTCACGATCCATTCTCTAATCAAGGTACAATTACCCAAAAGCAGGATGGGATTAATTGCCACCCTGACAAAAAGTGTGTAATTTTGTTACACGTGGGTGGGATCATCAGGGACTCCGTTGGAGATGATGTGGGGATCTACCTGCCCACCATCTGTGGTGGTTCCCATTTTCCTTACCCTTTGGGATGTCCCAGGTCAAAGATACAGATTAGATACAGATTAACAGAGTTGGAAGGGAGCTCGTAGGCCATCTAGTCCAACCGAAGATCTAAAACAAATACGTCATTGATGAATGCAAGGTAAACCGTAGGAAGATGCCTCTGGGGATGGGATTGAGGTGGAGTCCTTCAGCTAGATTATTTTCTTGCAGACGTTTCATAACTCACCCAGGTAACATCATCAATGTGAGAAGGAACTATTAGGACTATAGCACTAATGAGGTTACCTAATTGGGTCATGAAACACCTGCAAGAAAACCACAAAGTTCAGAGAACAACAAGGACACCACAAACAGAGAAACTAGGATAAGCAAGGATTAACACCAGGGGAACAACTAAGCAGAAAACAATGCCCTAATCAAGGAACTGCCAAGAAAGAAAGAAAAAAACCCCAAAACCTACCAACGCTGCCAGGACAAGCAACTCTATGTAAAAAGGGAGCAAACTCCCATTCCCTCAAACTGATTATATTACCTGTTTGGGCCATGAAATGTCTGTCCCACTCTCTTCTAGCACTGATGATGTTACCTACTGTATCATGAAATGTTTCCAAGAAAACAACCTACCTGAGAGAGCACCAAGGACCCCACATTTGAACTCCGAACTACAAATACGGTATTCTATTAGCCAAACCCAAACTCTTCCCTTCTCTCCTCTTTCCAGGCTGAGCGCCGAATACCCCATCAGCTCCGAGGGTGCCTGTGACTTCGGAAGGCTGGTCAAGCGGGACAAGATACGACTCAACAAATGTTACGCCGGTCTTTCGGGGGGAGCCATCAACTTTCTCCAAAGCACGCTTTCCTTGAATCCATGGTGAGGAGATCCGTTGGCTCCTCAGGGGTTCCTCTTTCACACATTGCAGATATATTTTTTTTCTATCCCAGATCATCTCAATTAAGTTCTCGATTTACGACCACAATTGAGCCCAAAAGTTTGGTTGCTAAAGTGAAACATTTGTTAAGTGAATTTTGCCCTATATTATGACCTTTCTTGCCACTGTTGTTAAGTGAATCGCTGCAGCTGTTAAATTAGTAACGCAGTTGTTAAGGGAATCCAGCATCCCCCTTGACTTTGCTGGTTAGAAAGTTGCCAAAGGGAATCATGTGACCAGGGGACACGGTATTAGTGTCCCTTCATGATATCTTTTAAACCCAATTTACCTATGGAGGCATACACTTTAAAAATTAACTTCTGAGTGCAATGTTCAAAAACATCCTTCAGCATGTCCAATACGAATGCATTTTGCTTCATTCCGTATTAGTAAATTAAATTTAAGCTTCTTCTTTGATTGCCATCTTTAGGTCATTGTGACCTGTAGTGTCTACCTCATCATGTTTTTTAAAAGAGAGCTCAACACAAAAGCATTTTCCCACGGGAAGGATTCTTACGCTTAAGTATGAGTCAGTTGCCAAGCCTCTGAATTTTGATGCCCCTGACCATGGGGATGTTGCAATGTTGCAGCGGCAGTTCCCGTTGGCTCTGGAGGAAACAGAATACCTTGATCCATACCAGTCGGGTTTCAGGCCCGGATACAGCACGGAGACGGCATTGGTCGCGCTGGTGGATGATCTCTGGAGGGCCTGGGACAAGGATATTCCTCTGTCTTGGTCCTATTAGATCTCTCGGCGGCCTTCGATACCATCGACCATGGTATCCTGTTACGACGCCTCGAGGGGTTGGGGGTGGGGGGCACTGTTCTACGGTGGTTCTCCTCCTACCTCTCGGGGCGCTCACAGGCGGTGTTGGCAGGGGGGGCAGAGGTCGACCCCGAGACACCTCACGTGTGGGGTGCCCCAGGGGTTGGTGCTCTCTCCCCTTCTGTTCAACATCTATATGAAGCCGCTGGGGGAGGTCATCCGTGGTTTCGGGGTGAGGTATCATCAGTATGCTGATGATACCCAGCTTTTTATATCCACCCCGAACCAGCCCACTGATACCCTCGACATGATGTCCCGATGCCTGGAAGCGGACCTGGATGGGGAGAAACAGGCTTCGGCTCAACCCTGCCAAGACCGAGTGGCTATGGGTACCGGCATCTCAGCTCGAACAAGATATTCCATCTCTGGTTATAGGGGGTGAAGTGTTACCCCCTGTAGACAGGGTGCGAAACCTGGGCGTCCTCCTAGATTCACGGTTAAATTTGGAAGATCATGTTATGACTGTGACCAGGGGGGCATTTGCTCAGGTTCGCCTGGTGCGCCAGTTGCGTCCCTCCTTGGACCGAGATGCTCTACGCACGGTCATTCATGCGCTCGTCACCTCCCGTATTGACTACTGCAACACTCTCTACATGGGGCTGCCCTTGAAGACCACTCGGAGGCTTCAGCTGTCGCAGAATGCGGCTGTGCGGGTAGTGATGGGAGTGTCCTTATACTCCCACGTTACACCTCTCCTGCCTGACTTGCATTGGTTGCCGGTTACCCTCCGGGTGAGATTCAAGGTGCTGGTGATGACCTATAAAGCCCTACATGGCTTAGGCCCAGGATATCTGTCAGACCATCTGCAACCAGCAACAGCTTCCCATCGCCCGGTGCGCTCTCACAGGGAGGACCTACTCAGGGTGCCGTTGGACAGACAGTGTCGGCTGTCTACCCCCAAGGAGAGAGTTTTCTCTGTAGGCGCACCCACCCTTTGGAATCAACTCCCTCTGGAGCTCCGGGTGGCCCCTGACCTTCGCTCTTTCCGCCGTGGACTGAAAACCACCCTGAGTCCTTCAGGAGAAGGGCGGTATAGAAATAAAATAAATAAATAAATAAATAAAATAAATAAAATGTGGCTATGCCATCTAGCCGCCCTAGACTGATAGGGTTTTAATAGAACTTTATTTATTTATTTATTTATTTATTTATTTATTTATTTATTTATTTATTTATTTATTTATTTATTCTATACCGCCTTTCTCCCGTAGGACTCAAGGCGGTGTACGGTCAAGAAAAATATAGACACACAAACATCATAAAATTGCTAATTAAAATTATTACTTAGTTTGGTCGATCAAATAAAACCCAGAATTAGATAACATTTAAAAAATCATTCACATGTTCGTATGTTTAGCCCCGCCTGTTGGAACATCAGGGTCTTGAGGGCACGGCGGAAAGCACGGAGATCAGGGATATTCCGTATCTCCGGGGGGGGGGGCAGTTCATTCCAAAGGGTTGGAGCCCCCACAGAGAAGGCCCTCCCCCTGGGAGTCGTCAGTCGGCATAATTTGACTGACGGTACCCTGAGTAGTCCCTCCCTGTGAGAACGAACTGGTCGGTGGGAGGCTATTGGTGGCAGAAGACGGTCTCGTAGGTACCCAGGTCCTAAGCCATGGAGCGCTTTAAAGGTGATAACCAAAACCTTGAACCCCCCCCGAAGACCACCGGGAGCCAGTGCAGCTCGCGTAGGAGAGGTGTTACATGGGCGTAACGAGCTGTGCCCATAATCACCCGCGCGGCTACGTTCTGGACCAGTTGGAGCCTCCGGGTGCTTTTCAAGGGGAGCCCCGTGTAGAGAGCATTACAGTAGTCCATACGGGAGGTAACTTAATGGGGTTTTATTGGATTTTTGTCAATTTTATCATGGACTTTGTTTTTAACGGTTTGTTTGTTTTGTTTGTTGTTGTGAGCCGCCCCGAGTCCTTCAGGAGTAGGGCGGTATATAAATTTAATAAAACATAAAACAAACAAGTCAGTAACCTGGTTGTTAAGTAAATCTGGCTCCCCCCTTGACTTTATTTGTCAGAAGGTCACAAAAGGGAATCACGTGACCCCAGGACTCTACAACCATCATAAATATGAATCAGTTGCCAAGCGTCCAAATTTTGACCACATGCTGCTATGGTTGTAATTGTAAAAAAATGGCCCCAAGTCATTTTTTTTTTGTAATGTTGAATGTTCACTAAATGAATGGTTGTAAATTGAGGACCATCTATATTCAGGAAGTGTGTTGGCCATATTATAATGAGCTTTTAGTTGTTCAAGTTTTGAGTTTTTGCACAGACTTTGCCTCTGGGTGATCCACACAGGTATTTGTCAGAAACCACCTTGTGCTTCCATTCAAAGGAACTCAAAACATTAATCAAAAATGCCCCTTACTCAAAACAATTATCTGATATTCCAATATTTGAGGGGCTGCTACAAAGAAGGAGGGTGGATCAACCTGTTCTCCAAAGCCCCTGAAGGCAGGAGAAGAAGCAAAGGATGGAAACTCATCAAGGAGAGAAGCAACTGAGGAGAAACTTCCTGACAGGGAGAACAATTAATCAGTGGGATGGTTTCCCTTTGTGGCTTCTCCACCCCTGTTTTTAAGAAGAGATTGGACAGCCGTTTGTCCGGAATTTTCTAGGGTCTCTTGCTTGAATAGGGGGTCAGACTAGAAGACCTCCGATGCCCCTTCCAATTCTGTTACTCTATTAAAGAGGGTCCCTCCTCTGCTCCCATCAACCGCTGGGGTGGCCGTGTAAGGTGAAGTCCAAGTTAAGTCCAAGTGTCTAGGATGGAGAATCCTCTCTAGATCATTCAACTTTGCTTTTTCTTCTCCTAGAGCTTGAAAATTTCCTCCTCCTCCTCGAAATAACAGAGTTGGAAGGGACACTGGAGGTCTTCTAGTCCAACCCCCTGATCAGCAGAAGACCCAAACCATTTCAGACAAATTGTTGTCCAATCTCTTCTTCTTTCTCTTTCTCCTCCTCCTCCTCCTCTTTTGAAAAAAACAAGAAAGGTTTTTGTTTCCCTACACACACCCACACCCACACACCCACACACACACCCTGCTTCTTTTCTCTATAGGGCTTCAACCTCAATGTTCTGTTCCCTTGCAGGAGAAGACCAACAGCCGCAGAATGTCTCCAGTCTTCGTGGCTGCAGGAGACTGGCTTGGACGAACACCAACAAGCCACGGTTTCTTTCTCCACCACCAAGCTGAGAAATTTTGTGGCCGAACGCGAGCGGAAAAGAGCACTCCTCTGTTCAAAGTACGGTGTGATGGCTGTGTAGCCAGCGAAACCTCTTTCACACGATCCCTTTCTGGCTGCCGTGACTCACCGCCTCGCCGATGAATCTTAGTGCTGAGTTTTATATATATATATCTGGACTCCAAAAAGCAAGGATTTTTAAGCAGCACATTGCCGAGCAACGGAAGTTTGCAGGTGAAGACATTTATTTTGATAGCGGAAGGGAAGATGGATGCATTTTATTTATTTTATAGTAACGTTCCTCTAATATCCTCAACAACTTGGAATAATTGACAGATTGGAGAAAGTGAAAGTCAGGCCCGAAAGATTATCTGTTTCAAAAGCAATTCAAAGGTGGATGCAACCCACAGACAGAATTTATGAAATCTCTGGGTTATTTATTTATTTTATTTTATTTTTTGCAAAGAAAAAGAAGCATCTGGTTTTTTTTAGAGGCTTTGACAAAAGCTGGAGGGAAAGAAGAGGCTACACAATATTTTCTATTCGCTGTTCCCTATCAGTTGAGCATGCAAATTGTCCATACACCTTACAACCGTTTCACAAAAAAAAGGAAGATTTAGATTTAATTTCGGTTTTCGTTTTAATTTAATTAAAGGTAGTTCTATCAAAATAAATTTAGTTCAGTAAGTTCATTATTTATTAAAGAATTTATTTAATCCAAATGAAATTAATAAAACTAAATTAAAAAATAACAATAAATTAAATTGGTTTTATTAATTTATTTTAGTTTTAATAATTATTTAATTATTTGATGTTAGCATTAAATACTTAATTGAACAGTTTTCTTTCGTTGCTTTTTTTTTTCCCCTGTTGTATTCGATAGAGATAACTTTCAGAGGTGCAAATAAAGCTCATTTTATTAGGAAGGAAAATCAGTCTGCCTTAGAAGACTTCAATACATACATAATTAATCTTGGTGATAAAGATAAGAGTAAATTTCATTAACAGTTGGATGAGTTTCAATGGCTTTACAGCTCTGGCTTTTCACGTGTGAACGCCCCAGGGTGAAAATATACACTACTCAGACAATAAATCATTGTCACAGGGAGAAACCCATAAACTCAATCAAAATCACAATGCCCTACATGTTTCTTCAGAAATAATCCCATGATGTTCCTCCTGAGGTATAAAGAGGTGGCTCGTGTCAGCCAGCTAAGCTGCATGCAGCCCTTCGAAGAAGCTGCCAGCTGTTCTTTTCAAAGAATTACAGAATTCTTTCAAAAAAAGGAATCATAGAAAATCTTTCATAGTCTTATCGGAGAGCAAGTGCAGTGCCTTCACTTCACTCCGACTGGTGTGATGTTTGTTGCCATACAAACAAACAAACAAAATTAGTTGGTTATTGCTTCTTTTGCAGTGAAGAATGAATTGTCTGGCTGTTTTATCACCGATGGAACTTAGTTTTGCAATCAAGAGATCTTCCCTTATTGCTTCACCTGGTTAAAAGTGACCCCTTTGCTGTGGTTTTCTTTTTCAAATCGCTGAACTATTTTTTCTTCCTCACATTGACTTTTTTTTAAAAAATAAAAATAGCCCAGTAGAACAGAAAACATTAAATTTGATTTTCCAATTATTTTAAAAAACAGACTGACTATTCATCTGCCCCAGTAAATAAATACTGTAATCAAAGTAAACTTTTCTTGCAGTTGTTCATTGTAGCTTTTGCTAATGCTGGTAACTCTGGAGTTGCTTTGTTCATTTTAGTACAGAGAGTCTTCGACTTACGACCAAAAATGGAGACCCAAATCTCCATTACTAAGTGAGACAATTGTTAAGTGAATTTTGCCTCATTTTACAACCCTTCTTCTCACCATTGTTAAGTGAATCCCTGCGGTTATTAAATTAGTCACATGGTTGTTAAGTGAATCTGGCTTCCCCATTAACTTTGCTGGTCAGAGAGTCGCAAAAGAGGATCATGTAACCCCAAGACACTGCAACCGTCATAAATATGAATCAGTTGCCAAGCGTCAGAATTTTGATCACGTGACCCTGGGGATGCTGCAACGGCCATAAGGGTGGAAAATGGTCATATGTCACTTTCTTCGGTGTAACGGTCACTAAATTAATTGTTGTAAGTCGAGGACTGCCTGTATTGAGAATGCCAATAGCTAAGGTTGGTTCACATCTTTTGAAGTAGTCCTCCTCGTCTCCAATATGACTAATATAACTTAATATAACTCCAATATAACTTTAAAAAGATGAATTGCTTAAGCAACTGTACAGGCTCACCCATTATTTATTTTAAGTAATCCACAGCTCCCGGAGTGTTGAATTTCGAAAACAGAAGTGGCCCACACAAAAGGTTTGTTATCCTGGAATACGTCACTTGGGTGGGCTAGCAGTCAGGTAGGTGTCACAGGAGGGGGGGGAGTAAACTCTAGGTCAGCGGGAGGGGCCTTTCCCCATCCCTTTTTGGGGTGGCCACCAATTGCAGCAAGGCCTGGTCAAATATGAGGAAGGAAGGAGGAAGAGACATTGAGAAAAGAAAAGAAAAGAAAGGAGGGACGGAGGAAGGGGAAAAATAGAATGGGAGAAAATGGAGGGAGGGAGGTAGAAAGAAAAAAGAAAAATGGTGAGAAGGGAAGGAGAGAAAGAAGGAAGGAAAGGAAGAGGAAAGGAAGAAAGATAGAAAGGGAAAGTGAGAAGAAGAGGAAAGGAGAGAGAAGGCAGGGAAGGGAAGGGAAGAAAAAAGGAAGAAAGGAAAGGAAGAAAGAAAGAAAGGGAAAGTGAGAAGAAGAGGAAAGGCAGGGAAGGAAGGAAGAGGAAGAAAGGATAAAGAAGGAAAGAAAAAAAATCAAAGCTTTATTTTTAAAAACAGCATCTGGTTTCCAAGGCCTTTTGCACCCTGTGGAAATCAAGGTCTTTCTTAAGCACATGCCTTTTTCATGTCAGAACCCGGTGCTGCTTTGTTAATTATTTTCTTTGAACCCAGAGTCGCCCGTCGGGAAGCCTTGCCTCCGATTCGATCCCAGGAGGAAGAAGAAAACTGGATCCCCTTCGGGGAATCAGGAAATGAGAGAGTCCGTAGAGAGAAAATCCCATCTCCTCTTGCAGCTGTTTTGTTTTAATCCCTAAGTAGTTTACGTCACACCATACTCAAAGCCTGCTTTGTGCAGATAAAAGGGAAAAAGTTAATTTACAACACACTCATCCCCTTACACCGAGGAGGACAGTCCAATACGTAGCAGGAAAGAACAACCTTAAATTTGTCCTTGAACTGTAGATAAAGTTATAAAACTATACAGCTATAAAACTCTAAATCCAGAATCTCTAGTTGTTACGTTAGGCACGCGGTTCTTAAGTGAATCCGGCTTCCCCCATGGACTTTGCTTGTCAGAACATCGCAAAAGGGGATCACATCCCAGAGCTTATCGCAGAGTTCCAAAGTCTGAAGGGACCTCAGAGAACATTTAGACTGACCTGCTTCTTGAAGTAAAGCAAAATGGCTACACAAAATATATATGATATCAGCACAAGGATATTTTTGGGTGAATCCATGTTGCATTTGCACTACAGGATTAAAAACAGGATCATCTGGTGAGCATTTTGTTCTCAGAATTCACTCTATAGGTAGTCCTCGATTTATGACCACAATCAGGACAGGAGTTTCCATTGCTAAGCACTTAATTTAACAACCACGTTACTAACTTAAAGTGAGCTGCATCCAATTGTACCACTTTTTCTGCCACCGTTGTAAAGCAAATCCCTGCTGTTGTTAAGCGAATCACACGGTTGTTAAGCGAATCTGGTTTTCCCCATTGACTTTGCTTGTCGGAGGCCGGCTGGGAAGTGACATGAGCATTTTTCCTCAACCGTTGCAGTATCTTTATGGCCACATAATCAAAATTCAGACTCTTGGCAACTGACTCATACTTATGACCGTGAGTGTGTCCCAAGGTCATGTGATCACCTTTTTGACCTTCTGATGAGCAAAGTCAATGGGGGAGCCAGATTCACTTAACAACCATGTTACTAACGTAACAACTGCAGTGATTCAGTTAACAACCGTTGCAAGGAAGGTCGTAAAACGGGGCAAAACTCACTTAACAACTGTCTCGCTTAGCAGTGGAAATTTGGGGCTCAGTCGTGGTCGTAAATCCAATCTCTTCTTGAAAACCTCCAGTGATTTAGAAAGTTTCGTGTTTTTGGCTGCCCTTGAGTGTGGCTTTTAAAAACAAACTGTAAAGGGGTGGGTATTTATTTCCTTTTTTCTCAGCTTTTCATTGGGTGGAAGAAAAAAATTGAAATTTTGCAATCTCTATCATTGCCACATTTTTACCAGCTCAGCAAAAATGACACTGGTTAAATGTTTGCCGTAGCGAAGGTCAATTTTCTTCATATCTATAGGCATCTGATAAAAACAAGGCACTGCACTTATAATTTTCAGTTTATTAAATTATCAAAGCATTTCCTTCTTTGTCGTTGAGGAAGAGTTAGAATTAAGATGGGTGCCAGATACAGGCAGTCCTCATTTAGTGACCATTCAAACTTACAACGGCACTGAAAAAAGTAACTTATGACACTTTTTCACACTTGATGACCATTGCAGCATCTCCAGGGTCACTTGGTCAAAATTCAGACGGTTGGCAACGGACTCATAGTTATGACAGTTGCAGTGTCCTGGGGTCATGTGATCCCCTTCGGTGACCTTCTGACAATCAAAGTCAACAACTGTTAACAACTGTGTCACTAATTTAACAATTGCAGGGATTCACTTAACAGCTGTGGCAAGAAAGGTTATAAAATGGGGCAAAGTTCACTTAACATATGTCTCACTTAGCAACTGAAATTTTGGGCTCAATTGTGGTCATAAATCAAGGACTACCTGTATTTTTGCTACACACAAAGGAAAAATCCCTTATTTGGAATTCCTCTGTCTCTTCAAAAGTCCCTTAGCAAATTTCACTCGGAACCTCAGATCAAGCGAAGATACAACTCGGTTAGCGTACATTAGCATGCTGGATCTGCAAGAACTTAAAAAATAATAATAATAATTTTGGAAAGCTGAATTTGAACAGAAAACAAAGGAAAGAGAAGCGACTTGGGAGGGTTAATTTCAGAAAGGCTCCTCTGGTTTATATTTTAGGACAGATTTTACATTTTCCAGGGATTCCCCTTAAGAGCTAGGGAGCAGGAGCCAAAGAACTGTGTCATGCATGTGGGGATTTGCACAACAGACTAAATGTGTGAAAGGAAAAGAGGGGGTTAATGCATACACACACGCACACACAGAGTCTGATCCCATAACATAGAGATAAATCAGTTTACTGATGAGATATCCCTGCTTATCCTAGATTATCATGTGCAAGCTAACTGTGCAAAAGGAAAGGAAGTTCACACATACACGCAGAGAAAGAAAGAGAGCGAGTCTGATTGCATAATATATAGATAAACCAGTTCACCAGTGAAATATCCCTGGTTATCCTAAGTGTGCAAAAAGAAAGGAAGGGGGTTCACACACACACACACACACACACACACACACACACACACACACACACGTCTGATTCCACAACATAGAGGTAAACCAGTTCATCCAATGAAAATATCACTGGTTATCCTAGATTCTTGTGTAAAAGAAGTGTGCTAAAAGAAAGGAAGGAGCACGAGCACGCATGCACGCACGCACACGCACACACACACACACAAAGTCTGAATTCCCCAACATAGAGACAAACCAGATCACCGGTGGAATCTCCCTGGTTATCTTGGATTAGCGTTTGCAGATCTCTGCTTCTGTTTTTAGCACCGGCAGCGGTACCTAAACTGGACATCATTCACGGGGTGCATTACCCCAAACCCGTAGCGGGTTTTGTTTATGGCAGGGATCTCCTCCTGCTGATTGATCAGCTCCAGATCAAAACACGCGAGCATCAGAAAGGTGAAAAGCTTGATTTCGTTGGTGGCGAAGTAACGTCCGGGACACATGGAGGTCCCAGCCCCCCAAGGCATGGTGAAATAATTTACCTTCTCACCGTTCTTAAAAAATTCTTTTTTGTTGCCGTTTTGGCTGAGGAAACGGTCATATTTGAAGGCCTGGGGCTCCTGGTGGATTTCGGGGTCCATGTGGGCCGAGAGGTAAGGGAAGAGGCTGATTTTGTCGCCTTTGCGCAGCTGGTAAGACTTCCCGTTGTGGAGCTTCAAGTCCATGTCTTGTAAAACCAGCCGAATCAACATCGGGACTGCCACCAACCTCAAGGTCTCTTGTACGGCGCTGTCCAGGATGGGCGTTTGGCTTAGCATCTCCTTGGTGACATTCAAGGGCTTCTGGCGGGAGGCCACATCTTGGCCTGACTTCTTCACCACCTCCTCAATCTCCTTCTTGACCTCTTCCATGGCTTTGGGATGCTTCATCAGGAACTCCAGGAGCCAGAAGGAAGCTGGACCAGTGTTACCTTGAGCTGCCCAAAGGAGCAGGAACATGAACCTGTCCCTCATGTCCTCAGATATCCCACTTTCGGCCAGCTGTTGAGACTGGTCACTGATCCACCGGCTGATGTTGTCCTTCTGGTAGACGTTCTTCACCGAAAGCACCTGCCAGAAGTAGTTCCAGATTTTCTTCACTTGGCCCCATTCCAACGGGGTCAACAAGGCGTACGAGAGGCGCGGGAAGAGCTTGTCGTATTTGCGAAATTCGACGAACACCTCTTCAGTGTGCTGCTGGTCTTTCTGTTTTAATTTCTCGTTCTGTTTTTCACTTGGTTCGGTGCCGTACAAAGCCAGGTAGCCAGCTTTGAAGACCGTGTTGTAACAAAAGTGGAACAAACCGTCTTCTTTCCAGGATTTTGGATCTTTTTGGGAGGTTTCTTGCCACCGGAATAAGACAGTCTGCAAGGCCTCCATCATGGCTTGGGTCATCACCACCAGGCCTTCTCCCTTCAGATGCTTCGTGCTGGAGACATCGATGATCTTGTGAGTCTCGTGGGAGGCCTCAAATCGAAACACCCTGAGGACCAGCTCGGCTGCGAACGAAATAAAATCCAGTTTATTTCGGCTTTCTCTGACAACGGCACTAAAGGACAACGGGTCCATCAAGAAGGTAAAATAGTGTCCTGCAATCAAGGTGGTGAAGATGTCCCCGTGTTTCTTTTGCATGGTTTTCAGGAAATCCATGTTGTCGTTTCGGAAGTGCAATGCGTGTCCTAGCCATGGAACGAGTCCTTTGTCCAAAGGGGGTTCGCTGGCTCGTCTTCGGCGAAAGAAGCCCGTCAGGTACAAGACCCCCAAAAGACCAACCCCCAGGGCAACCAGGACTGCCACCCAGAAGGACATCTTGAAGAATGTGTGCAGTTCAATGCCAGCTGCCTTTTCAACAAACTGGTTCTTCGGGCAAAGATGGGCGGGTTTTTTTTTTTTTTTTTGATCCAGGGAGGAGTTTCCCTTAATCAAAGAAGCCAAGAATTGCAGTTAACCCTTACGATGAGAAAAAAAGGTAGGAAACCAACCGTAGTCCATGAACGGAAGATTTTCCACCAGACAATCTTAAAAACTTCATTAACCAGCAGGAAGTGAGTTGGGCAGGACGTGTCCCTGTGTTTGTTTTACATTTAACTGTGTGTTTTCCTGATCCAACGCAAGTTGGGCAAACCAGGAGTGTTGACAACAAGGAGAGGAGAAAATTCTTGAATATTTGGAGAAGACCCATGAGCCGAAGGAAGTTGTACCAATAAGACTTAACGTAGTTTTCAGAGTATAAGACACACTTCCCCTCCCCCCTAAAAGTGGGTGAAAATTGTGTGTCTTATACACCGAATGTTGCTGAAGGGCTGCCCACCTGCCCATCCCCACCCTTCGGCTGTTTTCAGCCTCCGCATTTTGCGTTTCGGTTGGTTCCAGCTGCTCGTGTTGAATCAGGCTGCAATAACATGTTGAAGCAGAGCAGGCTGTTTGCTCTTTGCTGCAAGGACGCTAGCCAGATGAATAACTGATGGGTGCTGGTAGACAGAGGCAGGTTTTTTTCCCCCTTGATTTCCTCCCCAAAAACTAATGTTGCGTCTTACAGTCCAAAAAATTCGGTAGGTAGCTGTAATTACTGTCCCATTTATGGAGGAAGAGGAGAAGAGGAGGAGGAGGAGGAGATAGGTAAGTTGGCAGAAGGAGACAGGCGAAGAGAAGGAGGGGAAGGAGAAAGAGGAGGGGGAGGGGGAGGAAGAGAAAAGAAGAAGATAAAGCGGAGGAGGTGGAGGAGGAAGAGGAGAAGAAGAAGAAAATAGGCAAGTGGCAGAAGGAGACAGGTGAGGAGGAGGAGGAAGGGAGAAAAGGAGGAGGAGGAAGAAGAGGAGGAAAAGAAGAGGATAAAGCGGAAGAAGAGAAAGAGGAGGAGGAGGTCTAATTGGCATCTCCACACAGGCGTTTTGCATCATTTCAGGGTCTGCCCTGAAGCAGATTAATTTCACATTTCTTATTCTCCAGGGGTGAGTTGATTTATAGGCAGTCCTTGACTTATGAGCACAACTAGGGCCAAGAATTTCTGTTGTTAAACAATGTTAAGTGACTCACACCCAATTTTTTGATGTTTCCCCCCCCCCCACACACACGATTGTTAAGCGAATCTCTGCAGTTGTTAAGTGAATCATGCGGTTGTTGAGTGAAACCAACTTCCCCCATTGAGTTTGCTTGAGGGAAGCCGGCTGGAAAGATTGCCAATGGCGATTATATGTCCCAGGACCCTGCAACCATCATAAATATGGACCGCTGTCAAGTGTCTGAATTTTAATCATGCCACAATGGTCTTACGTGTGAAAAACAGTCATAAATCCCTTTTTTCAGTGCCAGTACAACTTTGAATGGTCACTAAACGAATGGTTGTAAGTCGAGGATTGCCTGTATGTACTAAGTCTCCCAAAGGGTGCCACAATGCATTTATGGAAGAGATTTTTCCAGGCAAGGCTGCCACCTGCTGGTCACGAAGGAGATAGCAAGGAGAGAAACAGACCAAAGATCTGAGATCATCAAAGGAGAAGATGGTTGAAACAAGCCTAACTTCACATTTTGTTTACTGGGGTGATCATTCACCGGTTTGGTTGTACCAAGATACCCATGATCCACATCCCTGTACTGGACACAGGAGCTGCACCCAAGGGTAGGACAAGAAGCAATGGATGGAAACTAATCAAGGAGAGGAGCAAAGGAGAGAAGCACAGTGAGAACAATTAACCAGTCTTCAGAAGTTGTGGGTGCTCCATCACTGGAGGCTTTCAAGAAGGGACTGGACAACCATCTGTCTGAAATGATAAAGTCTCCTGCTTGAGCAGGGGGTTGGACTAGAAGACCTCCGAGGTCCCTCCCAACTCTTATTCTACATTCTGTATTCTTCTTCCAGATGCTAACAAGGAGAAAAGTCGCTACTTAGAGCTCCCTCTGCTGGTATAACATTTGGCTGCAGGCTTTTTTCAAAATTAGAAATATATTTGATGTATGGTTAGTCCTCGACTTACGATTACAACTGAGCCCAACATTTCCGTTGTTAAGTGAGACATTTAAGTCAATTTTGCTCCATTTTACAATCTTTCTTGTCACAGTGGTTAAGCGAATCACTGCAGTTGATAAGTGAGGAACACAGTTGTTAAGTGAATCCGGCTTCCCCGTTGACTTTGCTTGCCAGAAGGTCGCAAAAGGGAATCACATGACTTTGGGACACAGCAACGGACACAAATACGAACCGGTTGCCAAGCGTCTGAATTTTGATCACATGAACCAAGGGGAATGCTGCAAAGGTCATAACTGTGAAAAAATGGTCATAAGTCACATATTTCAGTGCCGATGTAACTTTGAACGGTCACTAAGCGGACTGTGGTAAGTTGGAGACTACCTGTATTGCAAAAGGCAATAAAATTGATCTTTTTGGTTGTTTTTAATCTTTTTTATACTACCAGCATCACACCACTCGGGGGAAAGCAACAAATAAAAGTGGTCCTGGACTTATAACCGGTTCGAAGTTGCAATAGACTTCCTCAGATGTACTTAAGATCGAGTTCTGGAATTTGGATGGCTGCCCAGCCCTTCCCACAGTTGTGTGACTGCACATTGTGCGATAAGCAACCGCTTTAACTAGATGGCTGTTTGCATCAACCTGTGATTTCATAACGAGGTTTTAAGATGTTTTTGCCAAAAACGGTCATTTACCATTAGTCCTCGATTTACAACAGTTCACGTAGTGTCCATCCAAAGTTACAACAACACTGAACAAAGTGACTTATGATCATTTTTCATAGTTACAACCTTTGAAGCATCCCCGTGATCATGTGACCAAAATTCAGATGCTTGGTTCATACTTATGACCGTTGCTGTGTCCCAAGATCATATTTGCGACCTTTTGACAAGCAAAGTCAATGGGGAAGCCAGATTTGCTTAACAGCTATGTGACTGACTTAACAACTGCAGTGATTCATTTAACAACTGTGGCAAGAAAGGTGGTAAAATGGGACAAAACTCACTTATCAAATGTCTCACTTAACAACAGAAATTTGGGGCTCAATTGTGGTTGTAAATCGAGGACTACCAGCCTTCATTTATGCTGAGCTTCTTTCCTGAAAAAAAAAATCAGGCTGCTGACCTGACTTGCAATATTTGCAACATGCACTAGATGGCAGTGAAGACACATAAGAAAATTGTGCATCATGCTGCCACCTAGTGGTCTTTCAATCTCATTTCTTGCTTTTGTGATCCTGTGACTTTTTTTTGGTTTCCCTTTGCTTGTGCTGTCCTGGGTGCATGTGTGAATGGACTCACCTGTATATTTTTATCCTGTTTTTTCTATCCTCTTCTGCTCTTTCCAGGCACTACCACATCCACTATCCAGACTTTTTAGTCTCTCTTATTGACAGCTGTTAAGTTTCAGATGTCATGTAGTGGGTGCTTGTGTGTTCGTTATTATTATTGCAGATAGTCCTCTACTTATGAGTCGGTGGCCAAGCATCTGAATTTTGGTGATCATGGGAATGGTGCAACCATCGTAACTGTGAAAAATGGTCCTAAGTCACTTTTTCAAGTGCCGTTGCAACTTCAGACAGTCACAAAACAAATGGCTACAAGTCAAGGACCACCTGTATATTATTCCCACCACCATTTGATTGAACTGATTACAGATTAACAGAGTTGGAAGGGACCTTGTAGGTCATCTAGTCCAACCCCCACCCAAGCAGGAGACCCTACACCATTTCTGACAGATGGCAGTCCAGTCTCTTCTTGAAAGCCTCCAGTGATGAAGCTCCCACAACTTCCGAAGGCAACTTCTGTTCCATGGGTTGATTGCTCTCACTGTCAGGAAATCTCTCCTCATTTCTAGGTTGAATCTTTCCTTGTTTAGTTTCCATCCATTATTTCTCCTTCTGGCCTTCGGATGCTTTGGAAAACAGCTCGACCCCCGTCCCCCTCTCTCTCTGGCAGCCCCTCAAGTATTGGAAGACTGCTCTCACGTCTCCCCTGGTCCTTCTCTTCACTAGACTAGCCATGCCCAGTTCCTGCAACCGTTCTTCGTATGTTTTACTCTCCGGTCCCCTCATCATCCTGGTTGCTCTCCTCTGCACTTTTTCTAGAGTCTCCACATCTTTTTTTTGTATTGTGGCGACCAAAACTGGATGCGGAATTCTAGGTGTGGTCCTACTGAGGCTTTATAGAGATGCTGAGATGCTCTTGACCTGAGAAACGTCATCCCGACACCCGAGGCAATGAACGAGCATCAGCAATGATAATTGACCCAATGAGGTCATATCACACTAATCAACACAAATGACACAACCCTCTCAGGACAGGACAAGATGCCATCAGAGATGTGAAGAAGCACAATGGCATCGCGGGCGAAGAAGGCGGCGAAGAAGGAAGGAAGGGCAGCTGTCATCATCAATCAAATCGATTTCTTGTCAGGAGCCGAGAAGAATATCACTACCGTCGTTTCTACTGACCCCCCAACAATTCCACAACAACGTGCAGGTAGTCCTCGAATTACAACGGTTCATTTAGTGACCGTTCGACACTACAACAGCACTGGAAAAAAAAATGATTGCTGCTTTTCACAACTTAGGACCATTCCAGCGTCCTCAAAATTCTGATGCTTGGCAACTGACTCGTATTTATGACGGTCTCAGGGTCACGTGATCCCCTTTTGTGACCTTATCACAAGCAAAAGTCCACGGGGAAGCCAGATTCATTTAACAGCCACGTCACTAATTTAAGAACTGCAGTGATTCACTTAACAACTTGGCAGAAAGAGTTGTAAAATAAAGCAAAATTCACTTATCTTGTTTAGGAACAGAAATTTTGGATTCCATTGTGCTTGTAGGTCAAGGACTACCTGTACTGGAGAGTTCTTACAATTGTTATGACCGTAATGGCCAGGCACCATGACAGTCGTATGTTGAGGACTACGTGTAGGCATCCTGATG